TTGAGTTTAAGCTGGAACCACACAAACATACAAACTCAGATATACGATTTCTTCCCTCATCCATAGAATACAGATAATCAATACTAAATAAATAAGTAACAAAAGATAGATAAGTTTTTATTTTGAAAATAAACAATTTGTTGATTTTATGTTTAAGCAAATGTGGATACAGTGGGACTCATAAAATTGTGGAATAGAAATAAGACGTTTAAGCAATGTCATTATTACTGTTATATAAGATAATAGTTTTACAAATAATTTTAAATCAATTTATTTTGTTAAATGGGTCTGTGTACACTTCACAAATGCTGTTTCTTATAATCATTACTTGATTCTAAAAGTAGTCTTTCTATTCCACAGTTTCGTGGGTCCTACTGTGGTTTTAATCTAACAATATGTTATTGGCTTTGGTAAGAAAACTAAGGCATTGAAGAGCAACCTCTGCGCTCTGTAGAGGTTGAAACTGTCGGTGAAACTTTCAGGTTAAAGAATTTTGCATGCAGAAGTTGTTAGAAGTTTAGAACATGACAACATGTATCAGACTGGAATACATAACTTTTCTAATAACTATTTATAGTAGATTTAGTAAATTAGAAGTGGTTTTGTTCTCCGACACTCACTTTAAAATACACAGGCCTCTGAAGGTTTTGATGAGAATAAGAGAGAAAAATATCTCGACTTGATATCGATCCAGAGAATTGTTTTAAAGTTTAGGGTTTCCAGGGTTACAGTGAACATATACTCTCACATCAGCAACATACAGCTGAGCTCAGACCTACATAACTTACATACAGTGTGTCCTTATACAAACATGACAAAGGACAGGGGAGGAAGCTCAGACCTACATAACTTACATAAACATACAATGTGTCCTTACACAAACATGACAAAGGACAAGGGAGGAAGGGTTATTAAGATAGGACAAAGGACAAGGGATGGGAGGATTATGAAGATAGGATAAGGGATGTGAGGATTATGAAGATAGGACAAGGTAGAGAAGATTATAAAGATAAGACAAGGGAGAGTAGAATATGAAGATAGGACAAGGGAGGGAAGATTATGGAGATAGGACAAGGGAGGGAAGATTATGAAGATAGGACAAGGGAGGGAAGATTATGAAGATAGGACAAGGTAGAGAAGATTATGAAGATAGGACAAGGGAGGGAAGATTATGAAGATAGGACAAGGTAGAGAAGATTATTAAGATAGGACAAGGAATGTGAGGATTATGAAGATAGGACAAGGAATGGGAGGATTATGAAGATGGGACAAGGAATGGGAGGATTTTGAAGATAGGACAAGGATGGAAGGATTAAGAAAATAGGACAAGGATGGAAGGATCAAGAAGACATGACAAGGGATGGGAGGGTTATAAAGACATGAAAGGAATTAGAGGATCAGATAGGATGGACAAGGAATGATAGGATCATAAAGCTGTAACAAGAGGAATAAGGAGTTAAATATATAAAAAGCTGGAACAAGGGTTGAAAGGATTTAAAATACTATCTATTTAGGTCCAGGTGATGGAATTAGGATCCAAATCAATTTATTGCGCAAAGTTATGCAACTGGAGTAGAATGCTTGGAATCGCCTGGTATCAGGAGATGAGAAAAGACTGGTTTACAACCTGCAAACCCTTGAATGATGTAAAACTAATGATCAAAAAACTGTTGGGTTGCAAACATGAAATTATGGAAACAAATTCCTTAGTTTTGTGCACTTGTGATTGCAATACTCAAACATAAGCAGCCATATCTTTTATCATAAAGGGGGACAATGAATCAAAAAGAAGGGATTCTCTGAAGTTTTTGTTCCTTTTATCCTTTCTATCCATCATCCATACTTCTATTCATTATCAAGTTTCCTCCTTCCATCCTTTTATCCATTATCCACCTTCCTCCTCCCACCCTTCTATCCATTATCCAACTTCCTCCTCCCGCCCTTCTATCCATTATCCAGCTTCCTCCTCCCACCCTTCTATCCATTATCCACCTTCCTCCTTCCGCCCTTCTATCCATTATCCAGCTTCCTCCTCCCACCCTTCTATCCATTATCCACCTTCCTCCTCCCACCCTTCTATCCATCATCCACCTTCCTCCTCCGCCCTTCTATCCATTATCCACCATCCTCCTCCCACCCTTCTATCCATTATCCACCTTCCTCCTCCCACCCTTCTATCCATCATCCACCTTCCTCCTTCCACCCTTCTATCCATTTCCTAATATCTCAGTCATGGAAGAACACATTGAGGATATCTCAAGGCTAGTAGTTTTCAGTGTTAATGTTTTTACTATGTTACTGTACAATCATATTTACGAAATAATCCCGTTTGGAACAAAGACGACATAGAAGTAGTCATTTAATTCCCGTGTTCATTGAGACACTGCACCCTGTAGATAACCCTGTCGTAAGCTCTCTCTTCTGTGAAAGGAATTATGACGATTAACATTTATATTTCGATACCGTTAAATAGTTTCTTCCACAAATAAGAAAATGTCAAGATAATCGAAATGATTTTACTTCAGTAGTGATGACAATATAATTGGTCGATAGAACATCCACATAGATGTAAACAAATTATTTTTCCACATAACTAATAATATCAATGAAGTACTGCAAAAATTTGAAAATATATCATAGAACTTATTTAAAAGTGACCGAGGTTTCTTAACCACCAGTTCAATTTGATCAAATTCTTTGATATCTCTCCAAATATAATTTTATATAAATTGATATGTGCTTCAAGAAAAGCAATGCTCAAATTTCAAATAAATAATAATAACAATAAAATTTGATAAAACTTTCAACAATATGAAAAAAAGTAATAATATCATAAAAATATCATAACAAGGCCATCCAAGAATTAAAATTAAGAGAGTTTTATAGCATAACAAAATTTGTAAAAAATGAAGAATATGCCAACAAAATCTTCATATTTGCATCATTTTAATAGAAGAGAAATTAAGAACTATTATAAAACAAACGTCTAAACCATAATACTAAATTAAATGTAACAAAATTTTCGGAAATAAATATAATAAGTTGTTAGTGATGCACTCTTTTAAAGATCCATTTTAAAAATTTCAGAATCAATAAAAAAATTAATTGGTTTGATCCTAAAAAAGGATTTATATTTAAGAATAAATATTAACAGTATGTCTGGTATGTGTTGAAAGCATGAGATGTTTGACGACAAATTATCAAAAATTCAAGAAAAATCCCAAGATATAATTTTCAAGGATTTTAATAATATCATGTAATTTAAGTAAAAATGATAAAATTTAATTGAGGATATAGTTTTGTAACTTTATGCACTTTAATATTCCCAGTTTTAAGCTCAGGCAGATGGATATTTTGGGTTGCGATTAAAAAAAGACCTCGGCGTCGGAGCTGAGAATTTATGAATAGAGATATTTAGTTAAACTACAGATTATCCCAATTAGCATTATAACTCTTTGATATCTATTTAAAAACGAAGTGTGTATTCTTTACATCTACGTCCATTTAGAAAGCACAACAACGGACCATATTTAGAACCAGTGGTTAAACTATCTCTCCCAATTCATTAATTCCCAACTCTAATATTACAAAATATCTTGGAAAATTTAAGTTGGTAAAACAAGCTTTTGACTAAGGTAATACATAGATGAATAGATTAATTAAATAACAAATAGGACACTAGATGTCGTCTTTTCGAGATTTGGATCAGACTCGTCCACAATAACGCCGACTGCGCGAAACTTCTCTGGGCTTCTGCCGCAGGGTTATTGTAAACGCGTTCACCCAAATCTTGAAAAGACGACATCAACTGTCTTGTCTGTTAGTTTAATTAATATATGCATAGATGTTTATAATACACTAGTGTACATTGTACGTACCATGTGCATAGTAAACAAATAAACAAATATTAAAGCGTCAGCATGGAGTAAGTCTGGACAGTACAGTAAAAACACACGGTACAATACATGGATTTGAACTAAAAGGACTAGGATTGACAATAAGCATGAATGTTACAGATTAAATAATGATATGGCGTGTACAGTAGATGGTACAAGAGTAGAATATATATAAGATTAGGACAAGGAATGGCAATGTTTACAAACACGAACAGGTTGATGTATCTTCAATCTAGGTATCTCGGCCTAAACAAAAAAGAACTTGTTAACTTAAATAATATCTGGCCTATGGAGCATGTGCTGTACTATATCTGGTATCTGGAGCATGTTCTGTACTATATCTGGTATCTGGAGCAAGTCCTGTACTATATCTGGCCTATGGAGCATGTGCTGTACTATACCTGGTATCTGGAGCATGTGCGGTACTATATCTTGTATCAGGAGCACGTTCGTTCTGTACTATATCTGATTTATGAAGCAAGTCCTGTACTATATCTGGTATCTGGAGCAAGTCCTGTACTATATCTGGCATCAGGAGCAAGTCCTGTACTTTACCTGATATCTGGAACAGGAAGAACAAAAAAGATTTCCACAGTTCCTACAGTGATGTCTTCGCTCATACATAGTAAACCTTAAACAAAAGTTGTAATCTGGACTCGAAGAAAATTTCAGACAAATCAAACCGTATGACTTTGCAATAAGCAGGGTTTCACATCCTTGGTTTTTACAAAATTTGGATCTTTTATATATATAGTCTTCATGGAATACCAAACATAAGTCAGTGTCATTTTGACGTGTTAAATTGTTAATACAGAATTTTTGTTTTGTTTTTGATAAATGTGTTGTTAATGATCTGATGTTCTTTTCAAACTCAAATATTACAATAATCACCTGATTCCACAAGCTTGACATGAGTCTGTTCCATCATCCTTCATCCAGTGATCTACTAAACCTAGAGTAAAGATTATTCAACCTTTAAGTTTTAGGAAACTTAGAGAATTAATTTACCTTTCCCTGGTTTGTTAGAAACCATCCAGGAGAATACTCGACCTCTCTCATCTCCCACATACAGAGTTTTATGATCCTTAGAGGTAGCTAGAGCCGTCACAGCGGCAGGTTCACTATTATCACTGCGCTCGAATGCCGTGTGCATAGTTAGCTTAGCTCGGAAAACTAGCTGCCTTGACCACATATATCCGTCTCCAGGCATCATGGCAGGTCCTGAGTCAAGAACTTCTACTCCTTCCTCCACTGGACCCTCAACCACTACAAAACTATCATCCGAGGGGTATGTTACATTGATCTCAGGAGGATCAGCATTGTTTGACGCTGCGGTGTCTACTCCGTTTGTAGATTTGATTGGACTTGGAGGATCCACCGTTAGTTCAGGAGCAGGAGATGGTCCGTCGGAGCAATCAATATCTGAATGTTTATCAGCAGTGATCTCGTCACAGTCCTCAGTATCTGAGGATTGATCCTCAACAGATCTCTCGCTGGTCAGAGAAACCTTGTGATGACGTGCTACTGCATCCCGTAAACTACTCAGACAATCTCCGGACAAGGAGATGGACATCTTCTTCGCCAGCTCCGTTACCGTTGATATATTCGTTCTGTCGGAGTCGGGGGTTCCGGGTTCTTGAATTTCTGAAGTTTGCACGGGAACCTCAACATAATCAAGAGACCACATCCTGACTACACCATCACTACCTCCAGTCAGGATTACATTCTGACGATCCCATTCATACATCTGACTCTGGGCAACACAAAGGATTTGACATTTTAACTTCTTATCAACTCCAGGAGATGTTTCTACACTAGCAACAGGTAATCCATTCACATCCCAGAGATATACTTTAGATGAAGCACAAGTAACAATATTACCGTTTAGCTCATTAATATTAACTGCTGCTACTGGACCAGCGTGACCGGACAATGTTTTAATATAGGAGAACCTGGCAATATCCCAGATAATAACAGTTGTATCTCTACTACCAGATACAGCTACACCCCAACCAGGACTAGCAGCTAGTGAGGTAACAGCATCAGTGTGTCCGTACAGGGAATGTTGAAGATGGAGCTGTTTCAGCTTCTTGTGATAAATCCAGACACAGACTACAGTACTGGTTCCAGCGGTGAGAACTAGTTTAGGGTTGGGACACACACAGGTTAGAACCTCTCCAACTAGATAGTTAGGTTCACAGATAAAGACAGCTTTCTCAGTATCATAGTTGCCAAGACGGAAACTTTGATCTGCAAACCCCCAGGCTAGGTAGCGGTTGGAGTTGCCGGGAACTATAACCTTGTTCTGCTCCACTGCATAAACCATTCTCTCTGTAGGATAGATTTCTCCAACGGGCCCCTTTAGCTCCTTGATGGGAACCATACTGGGTCGCAGGTTGGATAAATTGTGGAAAAATATTTTTGAGTTTAAGCTGGAACCTGAAACTTCCACACCCGTGTTTTTAGATAAAACTTTCTTGGCTGGATGCGCTTTTTTAAAAAGTTGTTTGGGGATCTGTCCAAAGTTGTTTATAAATCCAATGGTTGCATTTCTCTGGAGTGGATCATCTATACAGAATATATCCACGTTTCCTTCGTAGAACAGATGATGAAAGACGTTCGAGCTTTCAGCCGCTGGTTCTCCCTGCTGCCTGAATCCAAATATCAGATCTATCCATTTATGCAGATTTGCAGAAACATAATCAGATTCAAGAGCTTCTCTATGAACCCGAATAAACTCCTTGGGATCGTTTTTAGCCCAAGCTGGAAGAATAACATCATGTAAACTCTCTCCGCTCTGTTTCATCCCGAAGTCGAAATTATTTCTGTTTGCCAGAAAATCCGGAAGGTAGAAAAACTCAGGAATAAGTTCTCGGACATCCGCCATATTATTTTTACTGGAAGATTCCCACGCCTCTGCTATAGAATGAAACATCCGGTCCGCCAAGTCGAAGTGTCCGCCCTGAAGGTGGAGAAAGTGCTGGGTGAAGGGTTCCAACCTAACCATGTAAGATGAGACTATCATAGCGGAGGAGTAGTGTGTACCATAGTGGTAGGGCGGAGTATCCGTCCCAGCATCATCCCATTCTTTATATCTCTTCCTGAACTGATCCAACCGGGATATTGTCTGAGCTCCCATGGGTTTGGAGAGATCTCGGAATGTTTTCGGATTTGTTAAATCCAGGTCCTCGCTAGAATAGTCCGCTAGGATCCATGGAAACACAGGATACTGCATCAGATCATTGTAAGATCTTCCCGCCAAGGTGTTTAAACTCATTAAATACTGAAAGTTTGATATTTCTCCTCGAACCCAGCGCTGTGTGACCGATGTTTCTCCAATGAGGGTTGAGAATAAACCGGTAGCTTGTTCCACGTTAGCAGTTCTACCTTGACCAGAGACAGATTGAGCTGCGTTTTCCAAAATATTTGAGGCAATAATACAGAACTTCTGATACACTTTCCCTCTATTCTGTCGCTGGAACGCTAGCAAGTAGTTCTGCCCGTTCTTTGAGAATACTTCAATAGCAATAGGTTGTAACAAATATCTTCTCTTGTGAACTTCTTTAACGTCATCAAATGCAAATTTTGAAACATGTCTCTTTGGTTTAATTTTAGGAACTTGCCCTGGTACACAGGGTATTATAGAATCATACTGATTAGCAGGAATGAAATCAATATCATGAACCTCCCTCTGGTTTACAATTGTAAATCCGTCTATCACATAAAAATGTTCTTTGCCGAAGAGAAGCAATCCCTCCATTATATCTAAACCCTGTATCCGAGCACACCTGTACATAGAGTGAATTCTCTCTCCGTTTTCAAGTAGTCTCATCACAGTCTGGTAGGCTGAGGAGAATTCTTCCATAGCTGGAGAGGAGTAGGGATCCGTCTTATCCTCTTCCTCCGTCCTTGATAAACTGTCCTTGGTATCCTCGGTCTCAATAGGTTCCTCTCCGTCCCCTTCATTACCATCCAGATCCAGGTCCTTCGGAGCACATTTCAGTCCCTTGAACCCAATCTCTCTCATCTGCTCATCAATTGTCAATCCTTCCGATTTATCATTAACAGCAATATCACAATCATCATAATCCAGCTCCATAGCTCGCTCTTCCCGTTCAAACAGTGCTCTGTTGTGATGCTCTTCAAACCAGAGTTTACTGTCATGGCTTGTCGGTCTCTTATACTTATGTGGTTTTTCTCCGTTCTTATCCGACCTGTAGGGATACCTGTAGTAGAAATATTCATCCCGAACCATTCGTTTTCTCATCCTGAAGGGTCCCTCTGTAACATCTAACTGCCACTTCATGAGATTTCCTTCTTGTATTGGTCCCCATACTCCTCTCTCCCTTGTCAGCTGTGCTTCAGTATTCAACCATTCCTCCTCCGAGTATGTCAGCATATGCTGCTCCGTCTGCTTTCTCTGTGTCTCGTGCTGTTCTACCACCTCAGATACTATGGTTATCTGGTTTAGAACTGCTGCTTCTACCTCGGAGAACTGAAGGTTGGAAAGTTCAATCTTCTTCTCTTCTTCCTTCTTTGCTTTGCTGGGTCCGGAGACAGAGGTCAGCCGTTTTAATCCTCCAGTCAGTCCTCCAGCAACCTTCTGTATCCTGCTCTGTATATGAGTATGTATCTCCCAGGCTGGAATTCTCTGGTAGCAAGCTTTCCGTTCCATCTCAATATACTGGTTCCAAACCTTGTGCGAAGGCTGATGTAACAAGTCCCTCACGCTTTCCAGGCTCGGGGTTTTATTTCCATACGGAAATGAAACCCTTGTTACCTCCTCAATGGCGGACTTTTTGTTAAAAAACAGTTCTTCCCAAACCTTGTTTGCGGAGGTGATCAAGAGATTCTTTCCTTGAAGTTTATTAATTCCCTCCGGACTATCTAGATCATCTACTGAGGATACGTGCCACTGTGTTCTAGCAGAATCTCCGTGAAGTGGAACCTCTAGTCCGTCTGTCAGCTGGAGAAGGCAGAAGGTCAAACAACCGAAGAATTCTACCTCGGGATTATCCCGACCGAAGAGCACAGCTCTGTTTGTGATGAGTTTGTGGAACACGTCCATCACGGAGATCTGATCCTGAACAGATCTGACAGGTCTAGAGAGCATATAGAGAACAGTTCTGTTCAAACATCTAAATATACCCTCTAGGGAGAGGACGGAGGTTCCACTCCTTCTCTTCGCCTGAGCTATGAGGTTGAGGATAAATTGGAAAACCTCGTTTGCGTCTTTCTTGAATACTCCTTGCCATAGTTTATCCACAAGCCTCGCGGCCAGGTAGAACACATTTCCAGCTATATGGTGCGAGGAACCACCTAGAATTAAATCAATGGAACTATAGTGAGAACCAGACAACTCTGGAATACTAAGACGACTTTCAGACTTAAGTTATGTTCTTGAATAGTTCGGTTAATATGGGCTTGTAGAAAAATCAAATACTTTAATTATTTCTTTAAAGTCGTCTTCATATTATATATTATATATTTATATTATATATATCATATCATACATTAGTCTGGTTCTCACACTATAATCTTCATATCATACATTAGTCTGGTTCTCACAGTATAATCTTCATATTATACATTAGTCTGGTTCTCACAGTATAATCTTCAGTGACTTTTTGTATCAGAAGCAACTCATTGAAAGATTGAGCTTGCAAAATATTTGTAACTAGTTTAAGAAATTTACAACTATTTTTCAGCCGAGGCATTAAAAGAAAGCGGCTTATAGAATTTTACAAATAAAATTGCAAGAAAATGGCGGAATTAGTCCGATTCCAGAACGAAAATGTTAATCTAAATTTAGCCATTTATCTCAAAAATAAGGCAATGTTTTTGAATCAAACTTAGTTTCTTTTTGTTGTTGAAGTGTATGCCAATATTAAACGTGTGGACAATCCCTTTCGACATTTCAAATTTCAGATTCGAATGTTGAGATAGGTTTACCTGGAACTATTGGGAGAGCTGCTTGTTCTCCGATAAGTATATCTGCAGCTACTAGATGATCCATTATCATTGTCAGTAAATCTGTCTGGAACCTAATACAAGATTTTTACTTTATCCTTTATAACAAAAAGTTTCAAGAAAGAACTTATAAAAATAGAAAAAAATAAATATTTCTCTGCACGGTGAGCCAGGATAATTTAGGTTTTCAATAATATTTATTCATTGAACATTTTTTGATAAACATATCTAAAGCCAAAATTGTTAGGACAGAAACTTACAGGACCGGATACAGGAAATGTAGAAGTAATTTCAGTTACATTCCATTTATATAATGGCACGTCAGATTAACAATTCTACCCTTCAAACCTTTGTCTATCAAGACTAATATAAAATCCATTGTCTCGTTGCTAACAACTGACCATTTTAAAATGAAGTTTCTCTTTAAAAGTGACTTGTGGATTTCTGCTACTGTAACAATGAAAGAAATTGCAGAATTAACAGTTTTTATAAGTATCTTCCTTTTTATTACTGAGATAAATGTTTAAATGGTCCAGTTTTGAATAGACCGTGCTAATCTATAAATGGAGGTTTAGTTGTAATTACGTCTTTAGTACCTTTAACAGCTTACACTCTATGTACTGAATCTATATATATACTCAACTTGTCTGTTTGTTTGTATCCAATAAACGCCAAAACGGCTGAACCGAGACCTCACATAACCCAAGGGAGGGTTTATGGATGATAAAATTGAAAAAATTAGCCTCCAACAAAATTCGATTTTCATTTTTTTATAAAATCCGCGAACTTTTTTTGTTTTTGTTTTAAGATGTATAAAAAGAGAAAATGTTCACGCTTAAAATAGAAGATGGACGCGAAGCGCCCTAAAAGCCTAGTGTACATATATATATGTATATTTACCTGTTCTGCTGGGAGGGAGATGAGTTATCAGGCTGTGCATCCAGCAGCGAATCAATAACAGGAGGTTGTTTAGGAGCAGGAGCTAGGGATAAACTATCCACAACCAGAACTCGGAGAAAGTTCATCACGTTCCTCTTCGCGGGATGGTTGGTTAAAGAATCATCCTGAACAGGAGAATTATCAGACGGAAATTAAGAAAGATTAGTTAAAAAAAAAAACTGGGACGGAGAAGAGAAAATAGAATCTTAGCACACAAATATTTAATAAATATGAATAATAAGAATCCCTACCTGTGAAGGTAGGTGGAGAACAACTGGTCTCTCTATATCTATCTCCCTAGCTGGAGAACCTGTTGGAGATGAACTGGTTGTATCCGACCCTGAACTGATCTCAGGGAAGATAGTTCCTGCTAGAGCTGTGAGAACATTGCTTCCCATGAACACGTGCATAAACTCGTGAACATTATGGTACAGGTAGAATAAAAACTGGGTCAAAGTTACAGGGTATTCCTAAAATAAATAATCTGAAAAATTGAAATATGTTTAGGAAAGATTGAAAGAATAAATGACGTAAAAAACCCAAAGTAGAAAATTTTAGGAAGGTGATTCACTCCTTTTTTTTAATTGGGAATATAATACATACCTTCATCCATTCTGGAAGTTTATCAGGAGATTTTGTTTCATCATTTAACATCGTTCTCACCATGCAGAGAACTGTAACCATTGCTTCTCCGCAAACCGTGGCTCGGGATGAAAGATCACTATTGAGAACCTCGGCGGAACTAGCTCCGAATATATAATTATATACAGAGTCTAGATCTAGTGTAGCTGAACTAGGAAGAGTTTTAACAGGTTGACCTAGCACCATAGCTAGCAGAAGATAATAAACCTCTGGTATAGAGATGTGCAGAGGCATCAACCAGTTAAAGAGTTGGAATCCAGGGATACTAAATATATCCTGACGGATTCTCATTTGTTTAACCTTCGAGGAGTTGGAGGTTTGACCCAGAGCTGCTCCCATCTTATTTTGCAGGATGAGTTCAGATTTCATAATCCATCCTCCATTACAGGAACCTTCTCGGAACTTCTCCAGGAGGGTTGGGATGGAGATCAACGTCATAAGGATCCGGAGAGCCCAGACTACAGTGGTGGTGTGGAGACGGGCTTGGAGAAAAAGAAGAACCCAATCGAACCCTACAATCCCCATGATCTCCTCACAAAATTTCTGGTTAATCTTCTTCCCCATGTAGAGGAGAGAAAAGAAAAGTTTAAGACATCGGTTCCTCAGAATTATCTTGGATTCTTCTACGGATAGTTCCGAGTTCTCTTCATGTTTACATTCAGTTCCATCAGATCCAGGAATAAGAACAATAATCTTTTCATCCTCTAGACTTGTAAGTATAGTAGCAGCAGTAAATTGGGTGAAACATAAAACATCGGTTACTCTAGGAGAGGTGCAGAGTAGAGCATGAAGGACGTTTAGCAAGGTCAGAGTAGTTGTGGAGGATCCTTTAGATTTCTTTAGAATAACTAAAAGTTTCTCCACTAGGTGGCACTCTCGTAGGAGCTTAATATTCGAACTGTTTCTCTGTAGACCGGTGTCGGAGAGAAGTTCGAAGAAATGTTCGAATAAAGATTTCTCCACCTCTGAGGGAGCCTGGTGCCATAGTTCTAGATCACAGAGAAGATCTCGAAATGCGGAAAGGTTTGGTATCCCTGAATTATCTTTGTGTGTGTCAATTGTTCCAACCAGTGTAAATATTAAATGCAAAATGTTAGAATTCAAGAATGAAGATTTTTTACGTAGGAGCATGGCCATGCTCTGATATCCATTGCCATCTTCCATCTCAGTTCTAGAGAATGGATTACTCTTTAGGACACAAACCAATGCTTTAACTCCAGCATATAAACTTTCTTCGTCCCGTGCCATTGCTATCAAACCCAGGAGTACACTGCATCCTCCAACAGTTTGGATTGTTTTAGAAACAGGTTGTGGTGTGAAGACCCGGACTCCTAGATAACCAATCACAACTCCGCCTAGTGGTCGAGCAGGACCGGAGAGGTGTTCGCAGGAATTGTGAAGAACTCTGATAGGAGTTGCGTTCTCATGAGCTGTCATTCCCAACTGTTTAGCAATACTCTTGTTGTCTACTTTACTGTAAACCTTTCTAATTCTGGACAGCGTCATCTCCGTGACTGCTACAGAGTTGAGACCTAGGATAACTTTATCCTCTGATATTTGTGATGTGAGAACTTCATGTGAAGATGTGATCTGTGGAGCCTGGAGAGAACCCAGGTAATGAGGTCCTAGTCTGTAGAGAATACTTGCCAGATTGGGACTAATAACATCTTCTAGGAGAAGACAGGGCCCTTGCTTCCAGCAGAGTCTAGACTGTCTCCTCCAGGCCGGAGGGGTTCCAATCCATCCAAACACGGAAAATGCATTTACACTGGCTGTAGCTCCACCAGGGTTCTGATTCATATAATGCATCTTAGTGTGAGCAACTTGAACACCGTTAACTGACATGGTTAGCATTGAGTTCTTCATGGTTTGTCGGCTCAATACAAACACAAGATGATGCCATTCTCCTTCTTTCATTATATCTGGAAACCAAACCCTGGTTCCCCATTCTCCGTTAAACTCTGGTTGCCAATCACTGGACTGCTCAGCTGTAGATTCCTGTACACTCACAACTATAGCCTTGTCCCTGGTGGAGAGAACTATAGAGAGACAGACTAGGTTGGATTCAGGAACAGATTTTACATTTCTAACAATCGTTAATAATCTGACAGGATGAGGATCAGCTCGGGGATCACTAAACTTATCAATACAGATCCAGGTTGAGAAGGTTAGTCCTTGTTGAGGTGGGAATGCTCTCTCTCCTAACCCTATTCCCCCGAGAACGGTTGGATCCTGAGATCCTAGGGAATTAACTCCTCCGAGTCCAGGGGAGGACGCAGACTGAGGACACAAGCTGGGGATATAAAGACATCCAAAACCTTCAGAGGACATATCAAACTCAACAAATGGTGGAAGAATGGAATTGTTTTGTATATGAAGATCCTTTGCAGAGGTCATGGAGACTAAGGTTTTGATTCTGGTCAAAGGAACAAATCCTCCAAATGGTTTTTGATTGGCTGGGAGCTCAAGGTACATTTTATCCGCTTCCTCTGTGGAAAGACAGGCCAAAGGATATCCAAGTCGTAGGAAACTCCTTAAATCTTGAGGAGTAAGCTTCTGAGCTGCTAATCTCTCCAACAAATATTGAAAGGTAGAATGCAGGGTGTGAGATTCATTCTCCAATATAGCGCCAGATTGTTTTAATATCTCACTCATAAAACCTGCCTCGCACATTATCTGTTGATTTTTCTCACATCTAAGCAGAGATTTAACCGTCTCTGCGGCAAAGAGTTGAATATTTTCTGACATGTTTTTATCTTCCAAGTGATAAAGGAATGGTATCAGTTTAAACATGGTTGAGACAGCGCCTGGATGAACAAGGATAGGTTCCGGTTGTTTCGGGAACAAGTTCAAAGAGCTTATCTTCTTTTTCTGGTTTGGGGTTCCTGGAGTACTGTCCTGAGAATCCTGGTTTGCTGAACAATGGGATTTGACTGAAGAGGACGAAGAACTTAATTTTGCTCTCACCTTGTAATTATCCACTGCGAGATCATAGAGAAGTTTTAATATCACACAGCAGGACTCATGTCTCGGAGAAATAGAATCAGAGTTCTCTTTGTCAGGATGCAATGAAGAGAATATCAACTGAAATGTATTGATAGCTGTTGGATCAGGGCTACTAGAGAAGGATTGAAAAGAACTTTCATCCGAGAAGCATCCCAGGAGAAGAAGGGACTCAGAGAGACTAGATTGAGATATTTCCTCGTGGAAAAATTTGGCATTGGCCGGTTCGTAGCGCATAGCAACAGCAAGACTTGTAAATATATCTTTCAAAAGAACATAGACATTCTTTCTATCAATATCCTTCCAGGGTCCATCCTGGATATTCTCCGAGGTGTCTAAACTACCCTCTAGGCTGATCAGGATTGACATGATGTATACGAACCCTCCTATTCTCCTAAACACTGTTCTACACCTATGAGACTCCTTGAGGCACCCAACCAGACACTTGATAATGGACGCTCTCAGCTCCAGGTCTGTGGTACCAGTGTTATGTAGGAGTTCAAGGAGTCCTGTCATATCCTCCTCTCCTCCAGGACCAGCACTGATAATCAGCTGCTGGAGCATACTTAACCCGCTATCCCGAGTCTCCAGGTGGTGCATGAGAGCTGCAGCTAGGTTGAATCCACCCAGTTCACGGAAAACTCCAGCGTTCTGAGGACAACCAGTTAACAACTCCGTGAGGGCAATGATAACCATTTCTCCAAGAGGAACCATACTCGGTTGATATACAGCCTGCGAATATATTATCGTAAACTAGAGAACACTATTTTTCGTAGAAAATTTTTTATTTTTCTATTTTTAAAAAACTTCTTCGCATCTCATTCTATAGCAATATTTTTTTGATTTTGTTAGTTTGTTTCCTACCTGAGTGTAATTATCCTCTGATGATAAATAGTTGGTGTAGAGAGAAAGACAACAAACCAAAACCTCAACCATTCCTGATATATTATTATATCAATTATTGGTGTAATTAATAATAATAATAATAATGAATTATTATAATGATAAAATAGAATAAAATCAATATATGAAACCATATGAATTTCCAATGATAAAGATTTAGATAAGCTTCCTTGAACCTAGTGGAAAACCCCCCACCCTCTAACCCTGAAGTTAATATCTATCTACCAATTTATCTAGAATATCTTTGATTTACATAACTATAATTGTCTTAAACCCATCTGTAAATAATTTATAATTTATCCCATATTTTTAAATTTCAGATTCGAATGTTGAGATAGGTTTACCAGGAAAGTGTTAATCCCATTATCTTCATTTAGTAAGATTTAACGATTTAGGTTAATCTCTACGTCGTTTTTTAACACTTTCCTTACATTTAAAACTGGTCGCGTGTTATATAGATCCAGTTCTACAGAGAGAAGATAGAAATAATATGAAATTATTTGGCAAGCTTCCAAGATTAGTCCAACACACACTCGGTGTTTCCTAGAGTACCTAGATACACATTGATCGAGTTCATAAGATATTAGGATAAACTAATCGGATACACAGAATTTTGAGTGAATCGAATTCTAGATTTCAGTTAAAACTTTGTAAATCAAAGATCTTGGCTAAACTTTGAATTTAATTCTTGATCTTGGTCAATCTTTGGCGAAACTACTTCTATCAAGATCGTAGTAAATCTAATCTTTGCCAAGTTGAAAGAATTTAGTTCCTAATCTTACTAAAACTTTGGTGAATCTAATTCCAGTTCTTGGTCAACCTTCGGCGTATCATATCTTCCAATTCAATCATGGATACAGGAATTTGTATTAATCTCATATTACAAAAATAAATATTTAAATATTTTTCATTGAAGTTAGGTTGCAAGTTTCTAAAATATTTCTTATAAAGCTTGCAAATTGTTCATTTATATTTTTAAAATATCTATCTTAATACGATTGTACAGAGAGGGCGGAGAACGTCCTTGTCCAGTGTTCAACCTGCGGCAAGGAATCCTCTCTCAAGTGCTCAGGGTGTAAACTGGTTTCTTACTGTGAGGTAAACTCAGAAATAAAAAAATGAAAAATATTTAATAATTTTGATTTCTCTAGGTTTCTTGTCAGCGTAAGGATTGGGTGAATCATAAACCAAACTGCCGGGTTTATCATGTTCAAGATATCAAGGGGAAAGGACTAGGTTTAGTTGCCAGGAGGGATTTAGTACCCGGAGAAATAGTTATCACTGAGAAACCTCTTGTTCTAGTTCAAACTCCAAATACGCCAAAGGTACAGATTTTTAAATATAATTCCAAGTAGGTTCACTAAACTTTAACCTAATTGGGATTATAAATACTGATCTATAATGTTATTGGGGGTAGGTTCACTAAACTTTAACCTAATTGGGATTATAAATACTGAACTATAATGTTATTGGGAGTAGGTTCACTAAACTTTAACCTAATTGGGATTATAAATACTGAACTATAATGTTATTGGGGGTAGGTTCACTAAACTTTAACCTAATTGGGATTATAATTACTGAACTATAATGTTATTGGGGGTAGGTTCACTAAACTTCAACCTAATTGGGATTATGAATACTGAACTTTAATGTTATTGGGGGTAAACTTTAACCTAATTGGGATAAGAAATATTGAACTGTAATATAATTGGTTTAGAATCCTTAAAAGCAATTTAAAATTTTTTTTTTTCATTCATTCTTAACTTTAATGTATTGGGTTTAAAATCCTGAATTGTAATTAAATAGTTTTAGAATCTTTAATTTGAATTAAATTGTTTTTAATTAACTTGTTATGAGGTGACACCAGAAACATGGGAATATTCCACACAAATGCTATCTCACTGAGACAGATGGATAAAACAGAGGGAAGGGAGATAGGAGCAGCAGTGTTTCCAAACATTGCCAGGATTAACCACTCGTGTTCTCCTAATGTAGTCTGGTCATATAATCAGCTCAAGAATAAAGAAGAAGTTAGAGCAGTCAGGTTGATCTTTTAACAATAATTTCATGTGACCTTCGCAAAGATGGCAATGCAGATTTACAACGGTACCCTTAAAAGCTTTGTCTGATCGATTTTAAATGAAATTTTCTTCCACATTTTTAACCAGATATAGGTTTCAATGGTACCGTTGTAAATCGAGCATTGATATATTTGCATGGAGGGTCACTTAACTAAAATTATGCTTACAGTCCCTTTATACAAATATAATTCAAGTTCTGGTTATAAAAGGGACCAAGTCAATTTCCGTATATTTTCGCAGTTTCCGACAAATTGCAAAAATCAACAACTATTTGAAAAATTTTAAATTTAATAATACAGTACCTTTAAACAGAAAACAGAAAAAACTAAGTTGTGCTTTTCTGTAGGCATAATCTCTGATCGAGTGCTTTATTAAACAATATCATCAAGTTTCGCAAGATTTTAATTTCTATTGGTGGCTTTTTTGTAGGGATATAATTGCTGGAGAGGAGCTGGTCGCGTGTTATATAGATCCTGTTTTACAGAGAGAAGATAGAAATAATCTGCTCAAAGCTAAATTCAATTTCTCCTGTTATTGTCAGGTTAGAGAATATGCGAAGAACACCGACAAAGTTATATCTTAAAATTTTATTTTTCTTGTTTTATGTACATAGTTCAATTTTGAATAATTAAAGGTAAAATACAAGCTTCGAATTCATTTAGAAAATGTTGAAACGCAATATTCGTTAAAAATGGGTTTACAGGTCAAATCGTTCAATCGCCACACATAACTGAAACCTTGCTCTAGGTCTGCTCTTTGACTGGGGAAGCTCTGACTGACAATGAGAAGACTAGAAGAGAAATATTAGGACTAAAGAACAGTATGCTGGATGTTTACAGGTAGAAGAAAAATACTTTAAAAATTAAATTATAAAACAAATTTTTTTTTCAGAGAGAATTCTCAGCGTGCTTTGAAGTTTGCAAAGATGAGGGTTGAAAGGATGGAGAAGCTCAGAAAGGAGATGATAGGAGCACTTCCCCAGGTATATACATTATACAATATACATAGGTCAGGGATAGGAGCTCTTCCCCAGGTATATACATTATACAATATACATAGGTCAGGGATAGGAGCTCTTCCCCAGGTATATACATTATACAATATACATAGGTCAGGGATAGGAGCTCTTCCCCAGGTATATACATTATACAATTTACATAGGTCAGGGATAAAAAATTGAAATTAGAAGGTCCAGAGACCCATTTAAAATTGAATTTTGAAAGTCAAGAACAATTTTGATATCTAAATAACATTTATGATTCAATAAGTTCTAATTTAGGATATCATGACTAAAATAACAATTTTATAGTGTTGTAAAGTTTCAAACCTGAGTAAGCGAATTTGTTATTAAAAAATTCAAATAAAGGAGTTAAATCGAACCAAAAAGCTGATTTTGATGTACATTGTTCACTTTTCTATTCAATTTAAGGATTTTGAGTCCCTGGACTCATATTTCATTTATTGGGACACACTGTCCCAGATTAAATTCAGGAATATCAGGAAATGGTTCTCTGTGTCCCATCATGATTGTCACAAAATGGGTCAATGTGTCCCACAAGATTCTTATCTTCATCAGATTTATAAAGAAAATCCTTTTTTCCGCGTGGTTAAGATAACCTGAACTTAAACAAAGTAAAAAACTAAAGTCAAGTAAAACCGAACTTAAGTTTGAGGAAGGGGCACATTCTAAACTGTAGCCTCTAGTCTAGTATTGAATGATAATATTCTAGGCGTATATGCACTGCTACGAGCTAGCCCTGGCTGAGAAGGAGGAAGAGATAGCTAACGTATATCGGAGACGAGGACAACAAGTTGCAACACTAGTTAGAGGAGATAATTCACTCTGGGCACACATCAAATAAATGAGTTAAATTGTAGCATTTGAAAAACTAATTTAGATGCATTTTAGTAAATAAATACATTTAAGAGATACAATCTTATTTAATCATCTAATTCCAATACACCTGTTTTCTGAACCTATTCTTAATTCTAATTTCAATCTTTTCCCTAAAACTTACACTATCTCTATGCTAGAAAAAATAAATCCTGAACTTAAAATAACAATCAATTTGATAATCCAAACGAATAACAAAACATAACTACAGAATTACAAATTAGTTAGATACAGTGGTCGGCGTTTATATTAATACAATGAACTTTTTAATTTCAGTTTTGATTTCTTACATTGAACAAGTTTACAAGTAAACAAAAGAGAAGCTGTTATTTGACAGCTTCTCTTTGTATTCATGCTGTTTGAAGGATTGGTAGACATCAAAATAGAAATCGAAAGTCGTCTTCGTTGTATTTATATATACGACAATGACAATGACTGCAGAAAATTAAAGATGTTAAGAACTAAAGAGGAATATTACCAACTTCTCTGAAAACATCCTTGAAAATATTGTCGAACTTGATTATAGAGATGAGAGACTGCACTGCCAGCATACAGCAGTCCAGGTTCTTCTTACTCTTCAGGATCAGGCTTATAGCTGAACAGAATAAACATTTTCCAGAGGTCAAAACTTTTAAATGAACGGAAAGTGTTAATCCCATTATCTTCATTTAGTAAGATTTAACGATTTAGGTTAATCTCTACGTCGTTTTTTAACACTTTCCTTACATTTAAAACTATCAGTTCAGATAATATTAATGAAAATAATAATAGAATTCTTTACAGCTAAATACTAAACTTTAATCTTAGTCTCTAGCAAAAACTTCATCAGAAATAAATTTATCCTTGAGACTAATTTTTCATCCTTGACTCCAAAATTAGCATTCTTTAAACGTTACAAATATACTAGTACCTATTAATTCTTTAGTTGGAATATAATGAAGATGGTGAACTAGGAACTCAATCAGTTGGAAAAATTTCTCCTGAACTATACTTGGTTTTAGGGCTATCTTCTCAGCTGCCTGACTCAAGGTGTGCTGGTTCTAAATATTAACATTCTTAAAGAGCGCTGAAACATTTCAATTTGTAAATTTGCAAACTTAAATAGTAGATCCTTGAGAGTTTTTAAACTATGAATTCTGTCAGATTAAATAGTCAGAGTTTAAAATATTAAAGGTTACAACACCAGGGTGAAAAACTAGAGAAATTTAATTCGAGTTTTAGGCTAGTAATCAGTTACTAAAACAATTTAAATTGAAAATAAGCAAATGAGGAAAATAAGGCAGCAACCACCAACATTTAAAACAAACGACCGAGTGCTCCATAAGATTTATCTTTAAAACTTTTTAAATTTGAGATAATGTTAAGCTTAAATACTAAAACATCAAAATCAAAACAAATACTTGAAACGATTCTACTAAATCAAATGAATTTACAGTATATACCATATATCTCGTATTTATCGTATAACTATTAAGTATAAACATATACCTGGAGAAGGAAGTAGTTAGCGCCATCTCCATGATAAATGGTTGAGATCGCGTCCAGGATAGTTCCACCCAACCCGGAGCTCTCACATTTCAGGAAAACTGATTGTAGAACCTAGATAAATAATCATTTACGAGCTTTAGAAGAAGAAAGGTGACCTCCTCCCCCCTGGAGAACCCATATCACAAGCGGATATACATGGCTATATATCACGTGGTTATCTCTGTTTATCTGTCTGTTTGTTACTAAGTCCGATAATAACTTTTGAACCCCTCGACCGATTTGCCTCAAACTTTGATTGGGGAACTAGGTATTACCTTTGTTTAAAAGTTTTAAGTTGAATTGGTCGACTTTTATTGAGCTAATTTTAAAAATGTCAAACAAGAGTTGATTAAAACAATTGCTTCATACCATAAACAGATTGCATACACAAATGAGAACTCAGGAGACGAATTTAAGATTATGGTTTCCCACAACTGTAAACTAAGTTTTTTTTTTCTCTCAAAAATCTCATTCTTGGATGGTAACCTCATATTTTTCTTAAATAAAAAAGTCTTCCATTCTTGTCAAATTGATAAAGAGATCGTCTTTTCTTAATTTGACTTTCTCTCTCATTGTATAAAGATAGTATTTAACCCCTGTAATTAACCTGGAAGGCGTGTATGTTTCTAACAGTAGATCCTCTGTTTTCTGGTATCGGAGTCTCGAAGTCTGGTAGTTGGTAAAGGGAGGAGCAGACTACGGTTGAAGGAGGTGGTAGCTCCGTGTGTCCGCAGAACGTGAGGCTAGCGACCAGTAAAACCAGGTTCCTCACAGCCTCGCTTGACTCAGGGTCGGAGTCCTTCTCCATTCTCAGAAGAAACTCGGAGAGAAAAATGTATCCTTGACACGTTCTGAAATCATCCAACAGTGTTGGGGACACAGTGGAGGAATCCTTGAGGAAGCAGAAGAGAGATACAAACATCTCCACCATCTCTAGCGGAGTAGCTTCAGGGGTTGGATCAGGTCCGTCACAGTAAACCTTCTGCATATTCTCCACACATAGAGCTATACAACCCTTGTTATGAAGATATGAGATCACGGGCTGGGAGAGAGAATGTCTGGAGACGGTTAGAAGAATATCACTTGAGGTTTTCCTCCAGATCATATTATGAGCTGGGCAGACGGAGCTGATAGCGGAGAAGAGAAGAGTTAGATCATCCTTCCTCGCCAGTTCTTCTACTGCGGAGATATGAGAACACAACCGCATCAGGATCTAGAATAAGTTTATATGAAAACCATCCAGCACAGAACACAATTTATGGTTTTCAGGATTTCCTTATAATAATTCTTAAGAACTAATTGCTAATTACTTTTAATACTTCCAAGACATTGCCATAATTCGCATTATCTACGAGTTTGGATTATGGAATAGCGTAGCTTTAACAAATAAACATTTTAAGTGTAAAGCAAATTTTAAAAAAAAAATCCTTGGATTTTAAAATAGTTTCAAGTTTTTTAAAATTTAGATTTTTAACTAAAATATCGTGTTGAACCCTGGATGGAATACCTGGAGAAACATTTTCTGTAGAAGAATCCTCTTTTCCCGGAGTGTGAACTCCGTCTCACTCTCCGAGTTCTTACTTGAGGTTTCATCTAGCTCCGGGAGGTCGAAAAACAGGTATAAACATTTGACTAGGGTCGAGGGTACACTGGCTGCTGTCATCACCTAGATTTAATATAATTTAATTTTTTTATTTTACGTGCTTTTTCAGCCTTTTCGATGGCTGGAGACTTTTGTATGATATGGAATTAAAGCACATACCATTGCATAGCTCAACTCCATAACTCGATAACTTAATAACATGACTGACTTTTCAACCTTTTGATAACTTGATAACATGATTAACTTCATTACTAGATATGCTGATTTGTAAAAATATCCTTACTTCTAATTGATCGACAAAGACAAGGGAGGGGTTTAAGTTAAACTTCCAAGTTGCGAGAGAAATTCTTTAATTCCTTGAGAATGGGCATAGATTTCAGATAAAATATATTTAGTAATGGTTTAATTAGTGGAAGAAAGTTAACTTCTAATCTAACTAAAGATTTTATTTATTTTTTATCCGATTTTTTATTCTTCCAGTGTTTTGGGAATAAATACCGTATCACATTTATTACCTCTACTAAGTTTTCTCCCGCTGCTGCTAGAAGGTTGAGGGTTGAGATGAGCATCCAGCCCTGACTAGTCTCCTCGTTACCATCTAGCTCCAGGAAGGTAGCAATACCACTAGCAGCGGCCTCGGTAGATTCGTTAGACGCTCGTCGCCGAACCTGCAATTTAAATATTTTTCGATGTTCTCGTAAATATATATATATCCTTTTGTATTTTTATTTTAGAGTTCTACTATTTGCTATATGGCCACTTTCTCTGATACCATTTAATCTATCACGTCAATAAATGAATTAATTTAGGGCAAAAGGAAATGCAGTTATTGTCGTAGCACATAATTCAATGTATTGCCAGTGCACCACCAGTTGAATACTGTAAAGATTGAATGAAGAATACCTCTGTGACTAGTAGTTTGGATGCTGCCTGTGCGAACGCGTTTGTATCTGGAAATTTCTCCGGGATAACTCTCGGAGGAACCGAATTAAATATCTTACAAAAGAGAGGAAGCATAGCGTAAAGACGGGTTTCACGCTCCGGGGATGTTAAAGGATGTGTAGGGTTGGAGAATTCAATATACAGTTTCTTCAGATGGTTTAAACCAAGCAGTTCTTGCTCCGGTCTGTATCCGTCCTGGTTCTCTTCTCCGGGTGTCTGTCCTCCTGCTCCTGACCCCCCCAGGAACTTTCGCATTATATTCATGTTGTCACCATTTGTCTGAAAGTATAAAAATTAGAAATTTATCAAATAGTTCTGAACTCTAGGTGGGTATTGTTGTAAGTTACTGTATACACTCCGGCAGGGTTGGGTTTACTCAGGGTTATCTTCTCTTTGATCCCGTACAGTTTATCCCTAGGGTTGGAGAAATTGTAGAAGTTGTCTGTCTTGTTAAAGAAGTTGAGCTGGTAGTACAAAATCTTCAGGTTCTCATTCATGTTCTGTTCAGAAATATACTTTATAGGTATTGAAATTAAGTAAATACTATTCATTTAAGATTTGTTCAGTTTCAACCCATTCAAATATCAGTTCTAATCTTTTCCAATATCAGTTCTAATCTTTTCCAATATCAGTGCTATTCTTTACCAATGTCAGTTCTAATCTTTTCCAATATCAGTTTTAATCCTTTCCAATATCAGTGCTAATCTTTACCAATATCAGTTCTAATATTTTCCAATATCAGTTCTAATCTTTTCCAATATCAGTTCTAATCCATTCCAATATCAGTTCTAATCTTTTCCAATATCAGTTCTAATCTTTTCCAATATCAGTTATAATCTTTTCCAATATCAGTTATAATCTTTTCCAATATCAGTTATAATTTTTTCCAATATCAGTTCTAATCTTTCCCAATATCAGTTCTAATCCCTTCCAATATCAGTTCTAATCTTTTCCCATATCAGTTCTAATCTTTACCAATATCAGTTCTAATCTTTTCCAATATCAGTTCTAATATTTTCCAATATCAGTTCTAATCTTTGCCAATGTCAGTTCTAATCTTTGCCAATATCAGTTCTAATCTTTACCAGTATCAATTCTAATCTTTACCAATATCAGTTCTAAATTTTAACAGTATCAATTCTGTTCAATTACAATATCAGTTCTAATCTTTTCCAATATCAGTTCTAATCTTTTCCAAAATCAGTTCTAATCTTTACCAATATCAGTTCTAATACTTTCCAATATCAGTTTTAATCCCTTCCTATATCGTTCTGATCCATTTCAGTATCAGTTCTAATCCTTTCCAATATCAGTTCTAATCCTTTCCAATATCAGTTTTAATCCCTTCCTATATCAGTTCTGATCCATCCCAATATAAATTCACCATTCCAATATCAATCCTTATCTGTTCCAAAAGTAGACCAGTATGTTCAACATCCATTAACAATGAAAAAAGCACAATTACAATTACATAAACATCTCCAAAAATATCTTCAACTGAAAGTTCATGATTAATGTGAGTTTAAGTAGTTTCTGATCCCTGAATTGAGTCTGTAAGAATACTGAGGAGGCGACGTAGGTATGCGTTGTGGTACAATCCTGTGCAGAGAGAAACCTAGAATTATATTTCATATCATGAAAAGATGTTTTAAAGAAGAACATAGAGATTTTTCAGATTCTGAATTTTCTTATTGAATTGATTTATTTTTACTCATATTGTCAGAAATACATTTTGATAATTATTATCTATTTTATTTAAATATTGATATCATAAATGAGTTAATCTAAAGATTGTTAAATATATGCAAAATGTTGTCGATAAGAAATAATTGTAATAATGTGAAAATCGAAATAGTAAAAATAAAGAAATAGATTCTGATCTTTATTATTATTTTTCATTGTATTATAATAATGGTTTAAGATTGAAATACGTAGAATTCATTATTAATTCTATTTTTTGATGTTGACAAAGCTTTTGATGTCAATGTTAATATCAATTTCAAGAGGAGTAGGGAGGGGTTTTGGGGTCATTCAGGAGGAATAACACATTTGACTTTATTTCCTTAAATATATATTTTGATACCTTCTTCTTCGGAAACACTTTATTAAAGTAAAACATTTACAATATAAATATAATTTTAATACATTTAAATACATTTTAATTTTGATACCTGATGGTAGAAGGCATTAATCCCGGAAATAAGAACCAGAGAAATATTCAGATTTCCGTTCAGCATGTTTTTCAAAGATATCAACCCAACCTAAACCATATTATCATTAATATTAGAGATATATTTAGGTTCAGCATGTTTTTCAGAGATATCAACCCAATCTAAACCATATTATCATTAATATTAGAGATATATTTAGGTTCAGCATGTTTTTCAAAGATATAAATCCAATCTAAACTATGTTATCATTATAATATATATATTATTATATCATATCTTTTTGGTTCCATAGTAGTAAACCTATCGTGTAAGAATTACCATTATAACACGGTTCAGGAGGAACAATTTTAATTATGTTCGCTTCCTTGCGTTTAAGAATGCTTATTTTTACACTGTAGGTGTAGAATTTTCATTCTTTAACGCTCAGACCGTGTAAGAATGGAAATTATTACACGGTTAGAGCGTGAAAGAATGTATATTCATACCCGCTCCGAGCATTCTTTAACTCAGGCCTGCGGCCTTCGTTAAAGAATACATCAAGATTATTTCATCTCGTTTAAGAATTTCCATTATTGCATTTTTTCCTCATTATCATATTATTATTACCAATCAACCTACAGTCAAAGAATCATGTCCTAACGGCAATGATACGTTGATCTCCAGGGTCGAGCCAGTATTAATATTTACTTGCAGAAAATACTAGTTTTTTAAAGTATTATATTCGTATTTTAGCGTTAAAGCTCGGAGATAATCTATTATGATATGGGACGCTTTTTATATTCACATTGTATGATAGTTAAAAAATTCATAAAATATTCATTTAAAAATATTTCAATTTCTACCTCTAGTGTATTAGGAGAGTAAGCTTCCATGATTAGAACTCTTTCTAAAGATTTCTTAACTATTTTCCATTGATCTGATGAAGTTAATCTGAACAAAATTAGTTTTAAACATCTAAAATTTGAATTCTCTCAGAAAAATGCGTTTCTAATTTAAATTAAGGACTAAGCATGAGATGATTATTTTTCCAAATTTCCTTTATATCAAATTTATCATTGTCATCCCATGCTAACCGTGTATCAATCTATCAATTAATCAATCAATCAATCAATCAATCAATCTATCAATTAATCAATCAATCAATCAATCAATCAATCTATCAATTAATCAATCCGTCAATCTATCAATTAATCAATCAATCAATCCATCAATCAATCGGACTTCTTGGTACGTCCCATGACCATATCGCAATCCCACCATGACTGTACAGCTGGGATTGAAATAAGTTCAAAGAAAAAGTTACATGAATTTATGTCGAAGTGTGATGTTTTATAAGGATATCCGTTTAAACATGTAGACGAAGAGTCCCATTATTATATAAGGTTTGATTGGACAATTGATAAGGTTTTGATATAAAAAGATAACGCTCGAAGATTTCGAAAAAACCGACAACAAAACTGTGAAGAGAAGCAGGATAAGAAAAAAATGCAAAAATATTTCAGAATATTATTCAAAATTGCCCATGCTAAAAAAGATAATAGTTTGTGACAGAAGACAGATGACAAAAAAATCGCTTTTTTCAAGTAAAGTTAAAATTAGAAGTACTAAAGGCAGTAAGTTTCCTCAAAACGCCAGAACTTATTCGAAATGCAACACAAATGAAGAAAAACGTATTAATACCTTTTAGTTTTTCTTTCTTCCTTGGGGAGAGATCTAAAATGGTTTTCAGAAATATTCTTGACTCTCCTCTGTAGTTCTCCTCCCAACACGTCAGACTAAAACCATCATGGTTGGAACTCAAGATTCAATGCAATCAGAAATATTCATTTTAAAATTCATTAGAATTCATCTCCTTGATTCGATCATCTGCTAAAACATCGAACCCACAGTGGGACGTAAAATTGCATTGGCTTGATGATTTTCTCTAGAAAATCGATGTTTGAAATCGTTCTTTTGAGATTCATGAATCAAATCAAATCAAATCAAATCAAATCAAATCAAATCAAATCAAATGAAATGAAATGAAATGAAATGAAATGAAATCAAATCTCAAAATAGACTTTCTATAATTAGAATAACTGCTCTTTATACGATATTTACGCAACGAAATGTATGATGGTGTTCCTTAATATGATGATCACAGTTGAAAAGGAGTACAGTTGATTCACAGCCGTTGATTTGAACCCCGCGGTAAAGGATCGGGAGACAAGCGTTACAAATCATCTCCATAAAGAAGGATTCCGGAACACTACTGTCTCCCAGTACTCCGGAGTAGAATACCGGAGTAACAGGAAACTGCGGAGGAGGCACAGATTCTCCGAAGAGATGGTTTAAGGACGGGCGGACGGATAATCGTCCGAGTAAGCTCAGTCCGCTCTCACAATTCATTCTTGTTATTCACTAAGTTTAACTGTAAGACCGGAGATTTATCACTAGTTGAGTTTGAAAAGTTATTCTGCAGGGTTAGACCATGAATGTTTATCCGTATACCAGTCTCCCTCTTCCTTCCTATACGTGTTCTCTCCAACCAGAACCTTTCTCAGAACTAAACCCAAGTATCAGTCATTATCTTTCTTTGTGGTTAAACCTGCTATTATTGCCAAGAAAGCTTAAAGAGGATGTTAACGATTTTTCATAATCGATAGCGACGATATTTTCTATTTATCCTCGGTCTTTTCCGATATTGGTCATTAACAATGTAATTTAATTCTTCAAGTTTTTAGATAGAAAAACAAAGATAGCTGCAACATCGTTTTGGAAAAAAAGTGATGGCACTCATAACCTCAAATTTTGGGGACAGTCCCATTAAAAGAGATATTAGACAACTTTTAAATGATGATTTGCGCATTTTTCAATGACAGGTCTAACAACTTTTAACAACTTTAAAACTCTGTGGAAAAACATCTTATGATATTATTGAATTAAAGCAAGGTGCTCCAAGAAAAACTTACAGAGTTTTCTTTATTTTAATCTTCCCCTTTGCTTGTTTTTTTTTTATTTTATCGACATTTTTAAGGTATTACTAATAATTTTACTTGAAAAATGTGAGTGATATTTTTACACCTCATCTCATACTAACAACACTTGAAATTGATTAAAGCTGTCAGTAAGGATGTAATGTACCCAATAATTCAAAACTCCAATCATAGCAACTATATGCTGAACTGATATATGTTCCTGGTCCAAAGTATGGAATGATGTAGGATGAATTATCTGCAGGTCCTAGGGTCTGGGTAGAGATTAGTATTACATCTACCAGATGTCCTGAAAGTAAAAGGAATATATTAAGATAAAACAAAATGAAATATCAGAATTAGTAATTTTTACCATTTGCCTGTGTTTACTTAGTTTAAGTTTCCGTTTTTCAATCTCTATCCCCCCCCCCCNTCGGATGAGAAAATATCAAGAATTAGATGTTGATATGAGGGTTAGAAATGATTAGTGCTCACCTATGAAGAAGAATCCTAGAGTAGCAAACTTAAGACAACCTATTGCAGGGTATCCTAGATAGAACCTGTCAATACCAAACATACCCAGGAACACGGAGAGGAGTAGGGCTGTATCGAAACTGTACCCGTTGGTCCACAAGCACTCAACCTCCTTCAGAAAGGTGGAGTTGCAGAACGGTGTACAGAGGATACCAGGCGCAGCTTCACAACGGGTTAAACCCTGAAAATTATTTTGATTCATTTTGCGGATTTCTTGCCGGGAAATATGGTATTTGAAATTTTACGCAGAAAATATCGACCTTCCACTTATCATACCACGAAAAAAAATGTAAGTGCGTAAAAAATCGCTTTATAATATGCTTCAAATGTTTTTCTCCCTTTAGCCGATTTGATAATATTTAAAAAAAAAAAATGAAAAAGCTAAAATCAAAATAGACATACCCTTCCTTCCTTGGTACAGTTGACTAGTTGTTGAGTATCTGGATCTATGTCGAGTTGAGTACACAGATACTGAGCAGGGAGCAGGCTAGCTCCGCAATCTTCAACCAGAACCTCACCTGCTCCAGGTATACAATCCAAACTCAAGCATATCTTAACATCATTTTATCAATCTTATTATTATTGTCTCTTAAATTGTACACTGTAGAGGATGAAAATCATCGAAAGGGGATTATAAAATCCGCAAATCATTCTTCGAATAACAAGTTTGCAAGTAGTGAAAAAAAGCTTTTTTTAATTGAAAATTTCTCTTGACTTTTATGTGTTTGTGTATCCATGCTGTTTAACAATTAAGTTTATATGAAAATTTAATTCGAAAGTCGTCTTCTTTGTATTGATATAATCGCCTACCACTGTAGAAGAAACTTAAACGATATTGCAAACGATTGTCATGTGGCTTCCCTTACTTAGTATGGGTAAACAAGTTTGAGACAAATATTGCATCAGAGTAAACCTTTCTAACAATCAAAAAATTCTGATTAAATAATTAAATTCCTTCCAAAAATAGGAAATGCAATTTAATATAAATGGGAATCTATATATAAATTTGGCTTTTCTGTCTGTTTGTTTGTCTGTCTGTTTGTATCCAATAAACGTCAAAACGGCTGAACCGATCGAGCCCAAATTTTTTGTGGGACATCTAGGGACCCCTAGGGAAGGTTTATGAATGATCAAAATTTCAAATATTTGTCTCCATCAAAATTCGATCGTCATTAAATTTTTGAAAATTTTGAAAATCCACGAAATTTTTTGTGAAAATCCGCGAATTATTTTTGTTTTGTTTTACGATGTACACAAAGAGAACATGTTCACAATTAATTTAGAAGATGGGCGCGAAGCGCCATCTATGGCTAGTTAATAATATAAAACAGGAGATAAAGGGTTACCCACAAAGGATGAGACTATACAGACGACAGTACGGAATTCAACCAGTCCTTTCCCTTACATGGTTTCCTGAACCTGTATATTTCTTTCCCAATCCAATTTGTTTACAAGTACCTCTATGGCGTTATAATAATTTCAACCTTCTTTTGTCAGATCGGTAATTTCCTAGTATACGATTGGATCCACCCTCCCTACCCTCTCCCCTCCTATTACCTAGCCTAACCCTAAATATATATGTACTAATTTTGTTGAAAATTGTTGAAAATGAAGGTCCGTCCTGGCCGCAGCGCTCGGCCCTCCTAACCTGTCCTAGCCCCAGCGATCGGCCCAGAAATTGTCTTAACCTAACCTATAACCCTAAAAAAATAAAAAATAAAAATTTTTGCTCAAAAATAAGTGGTCATGCAGAAGCTTGATAGGAGGTGGCGGTCCAAAAATCGTATACTAGGACGAACCCGTCAGATCAGAGTTTTAGGTGGTCATCAAAGTTTCATCCTTAGTGGCTAACACTGTATATAATCCTACCTTAGTAGTAAGTATAAGAAGAATGATGATGAAGAATGAACGATAAAGTTCCATCAGGAGAATCAGGAGAAACAAATATATTGCATTAAACTACGACATGTAGTTTATCGAGCTATCAGTCTGAAAGTAGAATAAAGAAGTGAATAAACCAGTGGAAGGATATTTCAAGTTTATCAAGTCCGGATTTGTCTGGTTTCAGATATCCTGGTATCCAGCTGTTAAGTTATTATCAATAATGATGTCGTGAACTAATTTTCTACTCAAATATAGTTCAACACTCAAACCATGGATATTCATATCACTGATAAGCTATGTGACACTGTTAGATGACTTTCTACGGACGGGTTAATGAGGCCAGACATGATTTGTTTCTCTCCCATTAGATAAATAAGATTTGCAGTGTTGAATCAAGTATATTGACAAAGGAAAGCAGGTATAACACTGTTCACAACACAGATTAGAAACATTATATACTTATCACACAACCTCGTCATACTCATCATCCTTGTTGGTTCAGTTGATTACAGGACATAAAACAAAATTGGATTGATATTCAAGGTTAACCACAAAGGATAAGCCTCACAAAGAATATATAAGTATGAAACGGGATTGATTTAAGGATGTGTATACATGTTGGAGTAGGATGGAGTAAAATATAGGATTTGAGTACGCTTAATTGGGTTGGAATAGGATAAAGGATTGGAGGATATAAAATTGAAGTAGAATACAAGATTGGAGTAGGATATGATTGCAGTAGGATATAGGATTGGAGTTAGATAAATGATTGGAGTCGGGATATAAGATTGAGATAGGATTTAGGATTGGAGTAGGATATTATAGGATATTGGAGTAGGATAACGTATCGGAGTAGAATATAGGATTACAGTAAGATAAAGGAAGAGAAGAATATAGGATTTGAGTAAGATATAGGATTGGAGTAGGATATAGGATTGGAGTAGGATATAGGATTGGAGAAAGATATATGATTTGAGTAGGATATAGGATTGGAAAAATAAATAGGATTTGAGTAGGATATAGGATTGGAGAAAGATATAGGATTTGAGTAGGATATAGGATCGGACTAGGATATAGGAATGGAGTAGAGTACACGTGAGTTGCCTTGAGTGTCAGAATAAAAATGAAGAATGAAGAAATTTGTTCATTCTCCATTTTGGATAAGTGGAAATGGAAAAATCAAAATAAAAGAAGTTTTAATATAATTTTTCTGTTCTTGATTAAATAATTTAAACAATACAGCAAGGATTTTAAATAAATTTTATTATAATCACAGGATTCTGATGTTAACATGTTAAAACTTATAAATGGGAAAAACTTCCTAATAAAATGCATCTTTACTTCTAGATTTCTAGTTATAATTACTGGTATCAAATATAAATATGGAAATCATAGATAAACGAATTTAAACACCGAGTGCAGTACAATTTCTCAAAAGGTATTATCGGAAGTACATAAGCGACTAGACAACAGTACGTTTTTCACTGTACAATGTATATCGACAAAATTAACTTTAAAAAAAACAAAACTATTCCTCACAAGGCATTGTAGTAGACGATTACGCATCGAAAGTGAACAATCAACATGATTCATCTAGCCGTTTTTTGGTTTATTATTCAGAAGGATTTTAACATTTTTATATCATGTTACAAAAATCAAATTTATGAATTTTTTTACCCTTAGACAATGATCTTCAGGAGAGATCTGAACATGTTTAAACTATGCAGTACAGCACAGAACAGTACAGTACAGTACAGAAAAATAAATATGTAATTACATAATAATTACTCATGGTGTACAGTAAAGCTCAAATCCACACAGCTCCAGGGTTCATCATGGGTTTCAAAATATCTTAGATCAAAATTTTTCTAAAATAAAATAAAAAAGATTAAGATTTTTCATAACTGTCAAAAATAATAAAAAATGGGTGCCCTCTAAAAGGTTTTATTTAAAAAAAAATATCTATTTGTATTTGTTTTACCAATTTAACAGCTCTAAACTTGAGGTTCCGTAGATGGAAGAGTCCTGGTCTAGATACATTTACTCCAAGATTTAGAACTAATTCATCCTGTTTAATCCATCTCATCCCATCTTAAATAAAAGAGAAATGGTAAAGTGATTCTATTTCTACTCTTCACCCCTTAATTGACACTTCCCATGTGTAATTTTTCTCCTCAAATTCTTACTTTCTGGGTTTTTTTTCTCATTTTAAAAACAGCTAAAACAGCAGCCCAAGGCTATCGAGTCCGCCTGCTGCTGATCTGATTTTTCCCCTCTCTTTAACATGTTATATATTTACTCGTAATTTTAAATTGTAAAATTGTTTCCGCAGAAAACAATGATTTGATTTCATTTGATTGTTAAAAAAATATATTTATTCAAAATTCTGTAAAAAGATTTTTAGTGATACTTTTGTGGAGAATACTTGAAACAATTGATGGATAAAAATTCTATTTTATTTCTACCTGTAACTCCGGTCCATCGAACTCCTCTTTCAACATCTTGTAAGCAAAACTGTAACAAGATTCCTCCTTCTCCGCTTTTTTCTCCGTCCTGTCCTGAGAACTCAACCCGAACCCTGACTCCGGCAAACGGATTTCTGTAGAAATCATGCAAAATTTTTCTATCATACTCTACTTCTACATTAACAGGGTAGTGAGGGAAGGGTATCTCAGTCTCCTCCGTCCTGGAGTCGAATGGTTTAGATTTGACGAGGAGAATGGTTTGTCCTAGGACGGGTTGGGAGCCTACTCCTCTCCACATTAAAACCACAATATCAGCTGAAAAACAAAAGCTCCATAAGAAATAATGGCATTAAATCAATCAATTCTTTTAGTTAAAACTAAGTTTTCCTTATCTCAAGTTGCAGGATTCCTTGACGGTAAAACAGACGACTAATGTGTATCATGTAACAACAACAAACCACAAAAAGAAACAGAAAACAATCTTAAATCCAGCAAAATCCTTACTTTTTAAAAATGGTGGGTTAGTTTTCCGTCCAAGGTTGAAGCTGAAAAAAGGTTTAAGAAAATCCACGAATGGCGGAGAAGAGATTGAGTGTCCCTTGTTCTGAGGAGTAGCTAAACTTGAGAAATGCAAGGATCCTCCCTTCAACTCCTTGTTCTGGTTCATCGGTAGGTTCACTAGCTCATCCAACACACTGGACTTCTCTATTCAACAATTAGAATCAAGATCTAATAAAATCATTGACTTAACAATTTTTAGACATATTTGAGTCTTTAAACTAAAGTTATTCGTACTTCAGAGAAATTGTCCTCCTTAGATCTTAAATCCTTATTCTTCAAAAAATTATTTATATTTTAAGGATCACAGGAGTGCTTTGTGAAAAGAGCTCTAAGTCTGTCTAAGCTCTACTGCTACAATAGTTCTACTAATGTGTTATTAAAAACTGTTATAAAATATTTGATTTGCAATGGCGTGATATTATGTTTGTAAATGTTTAATAAGATTTTAAAAAACTCTACAAGCTGCTGTACTAAATTAAAATGATCAAGAATCTAATTTCTTTCAAAGCGATTACATTGTTTACAACTTTACATCTACTTAATCTTTGGATTCTGTACCCTTTAGCACAAATTTCTAATGAAGGAATATTTACTGACCTACTATCACAGATTTGAGAGCTATTGATACTGAATCCCCCCTGGATACATTAGCACAGGTTCCAGTAGATTCTATACTTGATAGCTCACGTTCTACACTCACAAGGGTTACCTGAACACAAGGGATACTTGAAAACAAGGGATAACTGAACACAAGGGATACCTGAACACTAGGGATGCCTGAACACAAGGGATACCTGAACACAAGGGATACCTGAACACAAGGGATACCTGAACACAAGGAATACCTGAACACAAGTGCTACCTAAAGACAAGGGATACTTGAACACAAGGGATACCTGAACATAAGTGCTACCTGAACACAAGTGCTACCTGGACACAAGTGCTATCTGAACATAAGTGCTACCTGAACACAAGTGCTACCTGAACACAAGTGCTACCTTGACACAAGGGATACCTGGACACAAGGGATACCTGGACACAAGGGATACCTGGACACAAGGGATACATGAACACAAGGGATACCTGGACACAAGGAATTCCTGAACACAAGGAATATCTGAACACAACGGATACATGAACACAAGGAATAACTGAACACTAGGGATACCTGAACACAAGTACTACCTGAACACAAGTACTACCTGAACACAAGGGATACCTGGGCACAAGGAATACCTGACCACAATGGATACCTGAACACAAGGGATACCTGAACACAAGGGATACCTGAACACAAGGAATACCAGAACACAAGGGATAATTGAAAACAAAGAATACATGAACATAAGTTTTACCTGAACACAAGGGATACCTGGACACAAGGGATACCTGAACACAAGGAATACCTGAACACAAGGGATACCTGAACACAAGTGTTACCTGGAACAAGGGATACCTGGACACCAGGGATACCTGGAACAAGGGATACTTGCACACAAGGGATACCCGAACACAAGAGATACCTGGACACAAGGGATACCTGAACACAAGGGTTACATGAACACAAGGGTTACATGAACACAAGGGTTACATGAACACAACGAATACCTGGACACCAGGGATACCTGAACACAAAGAACACAAGGGATACATGGACACAAGGGATACCTAAACACAAGGAATACCTGAACACAAGGGAACCTGAACACGAGGGATAACTGAATATAAGGGATAGATGAACACAAGGGATAACTGAATATAAGGGATAGCTGAACACAAGGGATAACTGAATATAAGGGATACCTGGACACAAGGGATACACGAACACAAGAGATACCTGGCCACAAGGGATACCTGAACACAAGAGATACTTGAACACAAGGGATAACTGAATATAATGGAAACCTGACAAATAAATTACCTAAACACACGGCTTGCCTAAGCACACAAAGGGGTCCCGCTTAAACTTCATGGCCCTTATGTAACTAAAAGCAATAAATGTTTTTTAAATTGATAACCTGAGATATTTGAATATTCTCTAAACATCCTGTCCCATCTTTGGTCACATTCTTCAACCTTCAAGAATATATATTAGATTTAAATATATATCATGGGTACTGGTGGAGTAAAAAAGACTAACATTTACAAAAAGAGCAATTTTTAGAATGCCATAAATGAATTGTACACCCTGTCAGGGAGGGGGGAGGAGAGGGGGGTCCACAATAATCGAGTAATTTTGAAAAGTTCTTATCTGTCAATAGTCGATATTATTCACTATAATAACTATTTATATTTCCGTTAGATTAAATATAGTTCTCAACCCACATTCCTAAGCATACTATTTAGAATAAGGTTTGCTATGTCAAGAAGGGAAGAGGTAGGGGGGCCGGGTGTGTATGTAAATGTATGATCGATGACAAAGAAAGCTATGCCATTTATATTTTTTGGTTTTTATTTCAATATAAAATAAAACCCAGCGTTGTATTATCTATACCTGAGTATAAGGTTTGAAGTATCAATATTCTCGTGAACTGCTGTTGGGTAGGAGAGAGCAGAACACTGGAGAGAAGGGAGGATTCGTAATCTCAGGGGTATATGTAGAATACGGTAAGGGAGCTTCTTATCCGGAGTGTCAGAGTTCTCATAATATAGATATACGTCCTCAACCACCTCGGGACCAGTTGATGGACCTTAAAAATCATATTTTTCAGGAATATCAGGAAAGATATCTGGAAACCCCCCAATACAATCCTATCTTTCGGTCCGATATAATGAATAGTATTTTGATACCCACTCATCCGACCCGGAAGAGAGTAACCTACGTGTCAAGCTGGGTAGGTAGAGTTGGATGGGGATTAGAGAAATTTACGAAAGGGAGTCCATATAAAACCGTAAAAACGGTCGGGGAGTTAAAACTACTCGATATTTTCTTAAAACTATTAGTTCGGATCCCTTTACCTCGGTTTCCTCTAGGTCAGTTTCTATAGCATCGAGATACTTTTTTAAAAAGACAATCAATACTTTTTAATAATTATGACAGATAATTTAGCTAAACTTGAGAGGAACGAATTTCCTCCCATTATTTGAGAGATATTTTTTATTTTCTCAAAAGTTCTGAAGACATAATTTCAAGTGACCCTAGCTCTATTTCTAGAGTGGAATGTCCCATTCACATAATAATAAACAAGGTAGATATCACCGTTTTACCATCTTAAAATTTGTTAAATTCTAAAAGTTTCTTAGCTCCACAAGACAAGACAAAACCACACTTAAAAATACTCATTTCTCTGGAAGAAAAATAGGATAATTGAATTTTGATCAGACCCAGATAAAAGGGTACTGTTGTGAATCAGACATTCCACACTATAACATGGAGGGTCACTTAAATGTTGTCTCCTGTCCAGTGTACACATACCTTTAATCCAGACTGGTAGTTTAGCCGAGGATTGAGATTTAAGTTCTCCAGCTAGAGATTCAGACAGAGGAACCGATAATATATCAAGACAGGTCTAAAATATTATATTTTCAAACCATATTTATCTATTTTTCTAACAATTAAGAAGATGAAATGTGCATTTTGTTACTTGAAGAAAGTTGTTTAAAGAAATACATGTAACTTTCTTGCACAGATTTAATTCTTCAATAAATATTTAAGTAAAAATCAGAACATGGGTCACAGTCAAGATTTTTTTTACAAAAATTAAATAAAAATAAAAATAGGGGAGTCAAATTAAAATAAAATCCTAAAAATTTACATTTGGTGTTTCTTTATAAAAATTCTTTTTGTTATTGTTTTTTCCTTATCACATAAACATTATACATAAATGTCAGCGAAAACATCGAAAAAACTATTACTTATCATTTGTACCTGTGACACTGAACCGTCCTCCTTCAGAATCCTAAGAGGAGGATACTGTTTTTCCAGTAAAGGATACTCAAACATGGATTGGGACCGGGGTTTTCCAAATGAGAAGATACCAGGAACGGTTGAGACTATATGAAGGTTCTTGAGTCCCATGCTGCCAACGTTCTTTATATCTAACTCTATGCAACGCAACTCACCTAAATAAACCATGCATTGTACAATGCTTTGCTAACATCCCGATCAGAGGCGTATTGGGGTGGGCTGTGAGGGCTCAGCCCCCCCCCTTAGAATGATTTATTTCCAAGAGGTTTTTGGGCTCCAAACTATATATTATATAATGAATCTAAAACCATCACTTCAATGCTTGGAAGCTTCTAAAAATGCTAACTTTATGTTAGGAACAATCTCACGTGTATTCAGGGATAGACATATTTTTCTTAATCTGTATAAACAATATGTGAGATCCCATCTGGAATTTTCCGTGTTTGCTTGGTGTCCCTAGACAGCTGCAGATAAAGAAGTATTCGAACAGGTTCAACGTTGAGCAGTCAATAAGATATCAGGATTTTCGGGTAGAACTTATGTAGACTAATTGAAAGAACTAAAACTTAAATCCCTGGAGAACAGAAGAACTTATATCGACATGGTGCAAACATACAACAGTATCCATAGTTTGATGATGTATCAAGTGATACTTGGTTTAATTTAGTTGGAGCAGGAGAACATAGACTTACTCGCCTAACAGCAGATCCACTTAATTTGTTACCCTCCCGGTCGATATTGGAACAAAGATCCAATTTTCATAGTCAAAGAGCAGTGAATGTATAGAAATCCTAAGTCGTTTAAAAACAATTAGAAACGACATGCTGGAAACATTGTTTGAATAAAAAAATGATAAAAATAGTTAATCAGTGAATCTGTAGACTCTTAGCAGATATTCTCAATTTACCCCTAACGGGGGGTCTACTGGGGTCTAGAGATAAATTCACCAAAATAACTAAAAATCCCTCTGAAAGGTTCTGTAATACTCTCTGAAGTCCTGAGTAGTCTCCTAAAGTCACCCCTAATCTTTATTCTCCTCCACCCCTCCTCCCCTAATAGTTGATCCCCACTCCCTCTTCATGGGAGTTGTGGAAAGAGATGCCAAACACTTGAATGATGCATATAGCTATAATTGTTTAACAATTATCTGTAGTTAAGCGAAAAATGAGTGGGATGGGGGTAATTTTATGTGAAAGAAAAATACTAATAAGGTTAAATTTGAAAATAAATGGCGCGGATCGCCGAGAAAATTTGTTATTTGTTAACTACTTTTTAGGAGAGGAAAACATAACTTTTTCAGATGGGGCAAGCTCATTTTTTGCCTACCACACCTGATTTTAACATTTGCCCAAAATTCCCAGGGGGAAGGGGCCCCCCTGGGATGCTCAGGGGGGGGCAAGAGGATTACTGCCCACCCCCTGCGTACGCTACTGTTCTTATTTTCACCGAGGCCTTACTTTTTTATTGTTTCAATCTTCAATGTTTCAGGTGTTGAAGATTAACGTTATCTTATACAATAGTTCCGAATTCAAAATAAACTTGACTAACCTGCTAGAAGATTCTCTGGGAAGCTCAGAGACGCCGTGAGGAGAGGTTGCGGATCCCGAATATTAACTTAAACAAAATATTGATTAGTTTTCTTAATGTAATGATTAAAGCTATTCAATCGATTACAGTTACAGATATAAATCTTAGGGATTTTCTTAATGTTCTTTCTATATATCTCTCCGAGTATGAATGCATGGGATTTATCAGCTTATTAGTTTATTTATCTAAATACATCTGTTTAAGAAGTTATTCTTGTTGTATCAGCTCTCTATGGTATCTAAGAAACTGTGGTTTGTCTTTTCCAGTTCAGTGTCGGTCCCCCAGCCCTTATATACAAACGGAAGATTAAACTCTACGCCTGTATTCTATAAAGATCTGAGGTGCACTACTGTCCAATCTTCAGGTCCTATATTTTGCTTTGACTCAGAGACCAAAGAGAGAAAGGGGGGAGGGGGTTTAGTATGAGTAACCAATGCTTTAAATATTACATTAATTTTAGATAATAATGATAATGTTTATAACCTGTTAAACGATGATCTTGAGCTTGAACTATTTTTGTTTTATGATCTTTAATTGCATTTTGTCTGCGACCAACAATCTAAATCATAAGAAATTAAAATAAAACAACAATGGCGCAACTTTTTTTTTTATTGAAAACGCATCTATTAATTTATCACAAAATATTGACTGAATACATAGAGAAAACAATGGGTTAAAGGGATTGTAAGCGTACTTTCATGATACCCTCTTTGCAAAAATTAAAATGCCCGATTCACAACGGTACCTTTGAAACCTTTATCTGATTATTAATCTGGAAGATATTGTCGTTTTTCTAGGCTTAAAAATGTTTAATTCTGAAATGTTTTCCTTCAGTAGCAAGTCATTTTTGGTAGTAAAACCAAAATTTAAATAATCAATTAGTTCAAAGTTATTAACTTTGATACCTAATTCATACTTGATAAGACAAAGCTTTAAAGCTTTTAAGGGTACCGTAGTTAATCTGACATTGCCATCAAATGTGTCCCGAAAGAAATCAAATATAGAAAATTCTTGATTTCAGTATCAATAAAAAATAATAATAATTATTTCACCTGAAAATATTGCTTGCCCCTGATCTCGTGATCAGTGGGTTCCCGATCAGGAAAACTAGGTTTGAGAGAATACTCGACACCGATAATATTGAGAACTCCCGGAGAACTACCGGAGATCTCGAAAACTACACTCCTACTGGAGTTACTCTCTATAATAACAGACTCCAGAGGGATTGCTTGTATACTAGCAGAGGTGGTCTTCTCCTGCTTATCGTTGGAGAACACCTCCCCATGACTTGTTGTAAACCTCCAGAGCAACATCGACCTCCTCAGCACCAGGGGGTTGTTAAACGAGTTCTCGAAAGGAACGGTCACAAAGATCTTTTCTCCAACCACGCCCTGAATACGATAAAACACAATGAGAGAAAAATTTGGTATTTGGTGAATAAATCTCCATAAACAGTTTTCACGTTAAAATATAAAAAATTCCAGTTGAAGTTAAACGTATTTTGAACTCTCAATTATCATTTTTAAATTATTTTTTCCAGTCTAGCAAGAGGATCAAGAAGCTAGAAAACTTCTACCTGAGGTGTAAGATGGTTTTCTGTGTTCTCTGTAAAAAGTTGTTGTGAGGTTTGTGAGTGAACAAGAATTTCTTGACCAGTAATACCCTCTACTATACACCGCTCTACAGCCTACACAATCAATCAATCAAACAAAAATGCAATCTTTCCGGGAAGGGAAGGGAAGGAAAAAGAGAGGGGGAAGGGAAAGGGAAAAGAAAAGGGGAAAGAAAAACGTAATATCAGGAAGATAATCAATCAAAAAAATCTATAAATCAATAAATCAAACCATCTATGAATAAATCAATCAATCAATAAATCAACAAATCAATTCGCCATCAAAATTCAACCAAAATCAGTATCCATAATTTACCCAAAAATCAAGCCACAAACAAAAGTTTTCCAAACATACACACAAACTAATATCAAATTCATAACATTATTAAAAATATAACGAATAACAACCTGCCAATGTTTAGGTATCTGAGACATATTATTGTTCAAGGAGACAGAAAGCTGTTTGCATATTATCTTAGGAACTGTGAGAACAACCACGGACTGGTATTCCTTGTGCCGGGCGTGGTGAACCAGGAAGTACTCCCTCAAGTGAACCATCTGCTGAAGGGGGTTCCGCCCGGTGGAGACGGACATCAGGTTGTTGAAGAACTCCGAGGAGGTGGAGAAGTCTTTTAGCATGAACTTCTGGTGACCAAGAGAGTAGAGAATGTGTTCTGATGACAGTAGCCAGCCTTTCCCGTCGTAAACCTTAAAAAATCTTAATTAGAAAATGTTCAAATATATCTAAAATGTTTGAACCCACCTGTGCTCCTTGTCTATACAGACGAGCCGCATGTTTCTTACAGCTTCCTGTTTTAGTAAACCTAAAAAAATATTTATTGTTAACTAAAAGTAAAAGCATCCCAATAATAAAAGCAAATAAATTTTTACATTGCAAATTTATGTATCTAATTTAATAATCAAGGCCTTAAAAGAACTATAAGCGTAATTTCAAGTGACCCTCCATGCAAAGATGGCAATGCTAGTTTCACAACAGTACCCTTGAATCCTTTATCTGATGAATAATGTGGAAGATTAAGCCATTTTCTCAGTTAAAAATGTTTAACTCTGCTATTTCTTGTATGTTTTCCAGCGTAGAAATTCGTAAGTCACTTTTGAAGAGAAACCACTTTGATTCATATTTGATCAGACAAAGTTTTTAAGAATACCGTTGTGAATCGAACATTGCCATTTTTGCACGGGGGGGGGGGTCATTTGAAATCACACTTACAGTCCCTGTAAGGAAAATAGAAAACGCATTCATATCCCTAAGAATGATAGGATTGAAAGGATTGGATACCTGTATCCTGAGAGGACTATGTGAAATCCGTATTTCCGTACACTTGGAGGATTGGAGAGAAGGAAACAGTATCCAGCTTGTTCAAGGAGCATAGCAGACCTAAATATAGTCATATAAAGCTACAAAGTATGTATGTCACAAAATACTGCAGTAGGGACAGTACGGGGACGCGCCTGCCTGTTTAACCAAGCTTGACGGTACATGAACGACATCGCGTGACGATGAAGTTAAGTCTCATTTTTCTAGACCTTTAACTATCAGATATTAAAATGAAACGAAAATAACTACCTGAGATCGCTAAGCTCATTCGTCATCCTTATATAGCTCTTGGAGGCTTCAACAAACATCCCTTGCTGCTTCAAGCACAGCGCATCGAAAAGCGTAGCCCTGGGATGAAAATTAAATTAAATTTTTGCCAAACTTAGGCCCGACGTGCTCTCTAGATAACAATTACAGTGAAAGCCAGAAAACTGTGGAATAGAAATACGACATTAAAGCAATCATTAAAGAATATTTTATTTTGTTACAAATAAAATAGTTTTAATAGCTCTCTAATTAAAGTAAATGTGCCTGTATACACTGCACAATTGCTGTGTTTCATGTTCACTGATTGTTAAACTTGAGTCTAAAAGTCGTCTTCCATTCCAGTTTATTGGTTCTCACTGTATTAAGGTAAGAGGTGAGACAAATTACGAACTTAATGTTTTTTTTTGGATGAAAAATGGTAAGAATAAAACCTGATGGCGAACTCTGGAGTTTGGCACAGAGTCAGATATTTAGTTATTGCATCTTCCATATAATCAGGACGATATTTCTTCCCTGGACGGAGTAAAGTTAATTCTTGATAGAAGAGTTAGGTTCCTATCCTTGATTTATTCTAGAGTTAGGTTCCTATCCTTGATTTATTCTAGAGTTAGGTTCCTATCCTTACTTCCACTATACTTCCTCTATTCTAGAATTAAGTTCCAAACCTTACTCCTATCCTTGATCAATTTTAGAATTAGGTATCTATCCTTACTCCTTTACTTTATCTACTCTAGAATTTTGATCCTATCCTTCTGTCCTTGATCTATTCTAGAGTTAGGTTCCAATCCTTACTCCTATACTTGATCTTTTCTAGAATTAGGTATCTATCCTTACTCCTTTACTTTATCTACTCTAGAAATTTGATCCTATCCTTACTTCTATCCTTGATCTATTCTAGAGTTAGGTTCCTATCCTTACTCCCACTATCCTTGATCTTTTCTAGAATTAGGTATCTATTCTTACTCCTTTACTTTATCTACTCTAGAAATTTGATCCTATCCTTACTTCTATCCTTGATCTATTCTAGAGTTAGGTTCCTATCCTTACTCCCACAATCCTTGATTTATTCTAGAGTTAGGTTCTTATCTTTACTTCCACTATACTTGATCTATTCTCGAGTTAGGTTCCTATCCTTACTCCCACTATTCGTGATCTACTCTAGAGTTAAGCGGCTCCTATCCTTACTCCTTTACTTAATCTATCCTAGAGCTCTGATACTATCCTTACTTCGATCCTTGATATATTCTAGAGTTAGATTCCTATCCTTACTTCAACTATTCTTGATCTATTCTAGAGTTAGTACCCTCTCTAATCCATCTCTGCTACTCCAGCCAATCCTAGATCTTTCTAGAGTTAGGTTCCTCTCTCTTTCATCTCTTGTACTCTAACCTATCCTAGATCTATTCTAGAGTAAAGAACCTCTCTTTTTCATCCCAGCTACTCAAACCTAACCTTGATATATTCTAGAGTTATATCCTTACTCATATCCTAGATTTATTCTATAGTATAGATTCCTATTTTCACTCCCAATCCAATCCTAGGTCTATTCCTATCCATTTCATCACAGCTAGTCCTATTCGAGAGTTAGGACCCTCTCTAGTTCACCTCCGCTACTCTAACCAATCCTAGATTTATTCTTTCTCTTTCATCTCAGCTACTCCAACCTATCCTAACCTATCCTATCCTAATCCTTCTACTCTAACCTTGATCTGCTCCTGAGAGAGATATCATGAACATCGCTAGAGCTGTTAACTCTACAGCAGGAGCATAGTAGGGCCAGGCTTCATCAACCTGGATAAGAGACAAGCTAGATAGCCATCTGGAGCTCAAGGGACAATCTTAATTCCAAATTAAAAATGTTTGTTTACTTTTCCCGAAAGCTGTCAAATCCAGTGTGTTCTAACATTTGATTTTTTGATGATGCTATTTTTAATTACTTAAGTATGTATAAATAGTAATATTGGTGTACCTGAAAATCTTTTTTTGCTGTGTAGTAAAGATTGTAGGATTGTTTATACATTTTCATTAGAAAGTATAAATCTGCCAGCTTACGCACCTAATATAGAAATTTTTCATTAAAAGAATTGAATGGTCAAGGGTCCAAGGTAAAGGTCAAAGGAATGTCAAAGGTTAAAGAAATGTCAAAGGTCAAAAGAATGTCAAAGGTCATGGGTGCAGGGTGATAGGTTTTAGGTCATTTGTCACGGCTCAAAGGTTATTGGTTACGGGTAAAAAGTAATGGGTAATATGTTAAAGGTCATTGTCCACGAGTAGTTGGTTACCGGTCAAATGTCATGTCATGGGTCACAGGTCAATCGTCATTGCTCACATATCAAATGTAAATTCTAACCTGGAGTTCAGGTGCATCCTTGCTGTATATAACACTGTTCCCTGCTGCTCCTGGGTTGGTTTTGTTACTCCCAAACCATCGTTTAGCTCCGGAGAATAAACTCCGGGATTTCCTGTTAACTACAATTTCGTGGATTTGTTTCATCTGCTTCTCAGCGAAAGGTATGACCACCTTGAGAACTAATTCTCTCATCATACTCCTGATTCTATCCAGATCACTTGGACTCAAACACTTGGCTATTGAAGCAGATGTCGCCTAAAATTTATTTTTCAAAAACTGAATAGTATCTAACAATAAACTGCAAGAAGAGTATCCCTAGAAAGATTACACTGTCTGATTCACAACGGCACCCTTGAAATTTTTATCTCATCAGTAATGGTAGAAGATATTGTCGTTTTTCTAGGTTTTGATTAATTCTGATAATTTCAATATTTTCCTGCAGTAGAAATGCGCCAGTCACGCATGTAGAGAACCACAATTGAAAATAATCAGTTTTTAAAATTATAAACATTGATATTTAATTCATACTTGATCAGAAAAGGCTATTTAGGGTCCTGTTGTGAATCGGGCAATGTCATCTGTACATGGAGGGGCACTAAAATTAAGCTTACAGATCATCTTTATAAAAGGCCTTTTATAAAATTTTTTTTTTTGGTAATTGGTGATGACGAAAGGCTTAAAGGAAATATATACTACTGCTTTATTTTTTTTAGCTTTACTTAACGGGACTGTTTTTGGAATTCATGTGAACCACCGTTTAAAGAGGGCATGTCTGATGAACAAAGGTACTCTGATCAATCATGTGGAAAATAACGTCGAATTTCTAGCATGAAAAGTATTTATTCTGATACTTTCCTCCGTTGTTTCTACTAGCAGAAATTAGCATGACACTTTTTAAAAAAAATCACAATTGAAAATAATCAATTTTAAAAAGTGAAACTTGGATAGTTCAGTCAATGATGAACAAACAAAGGTTTTGAGGGTACTCATGTGATTCGGTGGTACCCCTCTGATGTGATTCGGTGGTACCCCTCTGAAAATGAAAGTTCACCCAAGGACGTGGTTTAGCCTAGGGGGTGCACTTTTGGCGAAATTTTTTTTTGTGCACCCCCATAATAAACCGGTTTAAAGAAAAAATAAAGTTGAAAATCTATACTAATCTACCTACAGGCTGACCATTAGTCAAAGAAAAGTAAAAAATCTGAATATATATGCAAGTTTAATGTTTAAAGAATTAGAGCCTGCCTCTATCTCTAGGGGGGCACAGGGGTACCGCCCCCCCCCACTACGCGCCTCAGTTTATCTGGAGTTACGCCTACAGTCCTTTTAATGTGGATGGTTTGTATGAAAAGCAGTAAAAATACCTGTGTTAAAATAATTTGATTTGTTTGCAAAGCTGGGGAGTCAACAGGTTCCTGAACAGCTAAAGGATGTTCTAAACTCAAGGAATCCTAGAAAATTGTAATTTTAAACTTCTTAATATTTATTAGGCCTTAAAAATGGCTAAGCAGTCATTATGAAAGCTCACTGCCCAACATGAATTATGTTATTTTTAGCACTCGATTAGTCACTTTTACCAAAATAGTTTAGAGTGAATATAATGAAGGTTGATTAATCTTACTTTAGTAGCTTTATCCACGTTTACAATCCTAGTTACAGGATTCGGAGAACTAACAGGCTGGGAGCTACATCTTCTCAGTTCAACAGTTGTAAATCTATGACTGAACTGAATCCAGTTCTCAGCTACAGGGTTGGGAGAAGGTGAGGACTCATCCATAATATTTCTAGAGTTGAGGTGGAGTAGATGGCAATTGTTTGCATCGAAAGCGTTCTGAATCTGAGTAAACATGTTCTCTGCCTGCATATCTGTGATTCCACTGTTGACATCATGAACAAGGATATAGTATTTTAATATGTTCGGGGAGAAATATGGAGTATTGGAACCAACCCTATCATGTTGATACTTATGCTGAACCTGAGACAAGGTTCGGAGCTGTTCTACAGGATTGGAACACTGGGTGGAGACGGCAAAGATGCATCCAAACTGATGTTTCAGATATTCATGCTCAACCACAGGCAGGGTTTGGAGGTAGAGTTTCATCCAGAGATCAAACCAGGGCGTGAATCCCGGAGCATCAAGGGAGATCTTATCATAATGTTTAGTCACCATCTCGCTCTCCTCGCAGTTCTCCTCGCTCAACCTCTCCAGGAGCAGCTTTTGGTTGATCAGCTTCGGAGAATCCCGGTTAAGATCCTGGAGGATCAAATGAAGGTTCGGAACATTGTGATTAGATCCGTCCACATCCTTGATAGTCACATCGGTTCCAAGTTTAGAAAAGGGTTGAAGAATCTCAGTGAATGTTAAATTATTTTTCCCAGCAATAATTTCGACATCCTAGAAATAAATGAAAGGATAAAAATGCAGTCAATCCAATAAATTCGATAAACCAATAAACCCAATGAACCCAATGAATCTTATGAACCCAATGAATCTTTTAAACCCAATGAATCTTTTGAACCCAATGAATCTTATGAACCCAATGATTCTTATGAACCAAATGAATCTGCTGAACCCAATGAATCTGCTGGACCCTATGATTCTTCTGAACTCAATGAATCTTATGAACCCGAATAATCTTTTTGAACCCAATGAATGTTATTAACCCAATGAATTTTTTGAACCCAATGAATCTTTTGAACCCAATGAATCTTATGAACCCAATGATTCTTATGAACCCAATGAATCTGCTGAACCCAATGAATCTGCTGAACCCTATGATTCTTCTGAACTCAATGAATCTTATAAACCCGAATAATCTTTTTGAACCCAATGAATCTTATGAACTCGAAGAATCTGCTGAACCCAATGAATCTTATGACCTCGAAGAATCTGCTGAACCCAATGAATCTTATGACCTCGAAGAACCTGCTGAACCCAATGAATCTTATGAACCCGAAGAATTTGCTGAACCCAATGAATCTTATGGACCAGAAGAATCTGCTGAACCCAATGAATCTTATGACCTAAGAATCTGCTGGACACAATGAATCTTATGAACTCGAAGAATCTGCTGAACCCCATGAATCTGCTGAATGAATGAAGGAATAAATGAAAGGTACCTGACTAGCTAGAACTGAGAGAACTGGACTGTAATAATCCTGGATCCAGTCCTGGATTGAGGTTCGCTTCCGAACCGACATTGTCAGTCTGAAATATTCAAATACGAAATATTTCTTTACATGAGAATTTCTTTAAGTATAATCTGGAAATTCTGGAATGAATTATCAGGATCAAAATTGTTTCAGCTAAATATTAATCACGAAGCATTTAATTAGCCAACAAATTACTGAAAGCTATGAACAGGGGTTCAGGATTTAAACACATCAAAATTTTGTTTACATAACAAATGCTGGTATCCATCCAGCATCAAAAAATGTAAATGCTGAATAAATGATTTTTCTTATAAATTTAATGTTTATATATATACAAATCATTAATTTGTAAATTTTATACGACATTTGTCACGAAAATGGAATCTAAAAATATAACATTGTCACGCCTTTTATGCATTAAGGATGAGCCTGACTTATAAATAACATATGATCATACTGAATCGTCATGATACCACCATCTTGTTTTCTTGGGGTTTTTAGAACATGTTCTCACGTAGAAACTATCGTCTGAGGGCCGCACTTTATCTTTGGCAGATGCGAGCATTGAAATAATCGATAAACACACTGATTCAACAGACAGCGCCGGACTCCAGTCGTCTGTTAGGATTGAGAGACAGATGTGACCATTGCTATAGATATGCTGATGTACAGGAATACTGTCTCCGACGAAGACGACCTCCGGAGAGTCGAACGGATATTTCATCCCGAACTTGAACTGAAGGTTGAAGGTTTCCCCTTCATACAGGGTCTTAGTTGGACCAACCAGTTTTATCTAAATAAATAACAGATATTATAAAATCCGATAATTTAGTTTTAGAAAATTTTTAAAATTTGATGAGTTGTGTTCAATGAACTTTACGACATATCAGACTATTTTGTACGTTAGCAATGCATACCTTTTTTAGGTTGAATAGGCCTAGAATCAAAGTAAAGAATTAATGTAGTTTTAAGACAAGAAAGCTTAGAGAAAATCCAACGTGCAGTAAGCAATAATTCTAATTCCAACTTATCTTCCCCTTTCGTTTCATTGAACAACTAAAACTTATTTAATTATAGCTCCACAGTTAGGTCTTTACTCGAAAAAGACCGCTGGGGGCGGAACCAGGGGGGGGCGGACTTGAAAAATTATAAAAAGAACAATGACAGAATTTTATAGATCACCTGCCAAACTCCTAAATCTTCTCCTTTCAGAGTCTCCTCCGATAGTTCTAATCCATCTGGAGGCTCCGTAGCAAATGATTGGAATTCTTTCTTCAACCGTTTGAGGGCAGGACCAGATATTTTACTCTTCTCTCCCTCCATAGAGAAGAATTTGATCAGTTGGATTCCATATCTTGAATCTAGAACATATTTATAAATATTTATATATCTTTAGACTAACTAAATTTAAAAACGTATCATTATTATTCTAAATTAAAGTTTCGTCAAATAAGTTTATGTCCATGATCAATTTCTTAAGTTCAGACCAGTGGTTACAATAAAAATTAATTATTTTAAGATAAAAAATCGAGTATCGTCCCCTGACACAACTTTACACTGCATAATGGGCCCTGGACTAACCTTTTTATTTTTACGACAAAAAAACTTCGGACAATAAAAAAATATGGATTTAATAAAGTTTGATATTGGATATTTGATAATTATTATTTTTATTTTTAAGGAAGTTTCAGGGTTTTATCAGAATAAAATTACGGGGCATTGAGCTGGCCCAGACACAGTTGTTTGTGTGTACAGTGTACAGTGTCCGAGTGTACTCTGCTACAAAAATAGAAAAATACCCTAATAGTAAACAAACCTATAATTTATCTTTGATTGTGTTTAAAAACACTTTTATTTAAGTTTCTGTAGATATTTTTATTTTTATTATTTAAGGATTTGATCATATTGTTATCATGAGAAAGACTCGTAGTCCAGTATCGATTTTCTGAAATCTTATGAAACAATGCCCAAAACTATCGCATCAAACATTCAAGCAAACAATTGAGCCGTAGCCGACTGTTGTTGGTTTCTAGCCGATTTAGAACTTGGAGTGTCGATTTTAGGGTCTGTCCTAGAACTTGAGGCTAGGTGACTGAGCGCTGAGGCCATGAAGTTGCCGATTTTTATTTTCGATCGTATTTTTCAGCTTTAAATTGTTGAGTCAAGGTCTTGAAAATGTAAATATCCGGGGTCCGTCCTAGAGAACGATTTTTGGACCCCCCTTGGCCCCCCCCCCTCCTATCAATTTTGTACATGTATTTTTTATTATGTTAGGTTAGGTGAAGATAATTTATGGGCCGAGCGCTGCGGCCAGGATAGGGTAGGGACCGAGCGCTGAAGCTAGGACATGCTAGGGGGCCGAGCGCCGCGGCTAGGACAGGCCAGGGGGCCGGGCGCTGCGGCCACATGATCAATTATGTCCATGTGTTATCCATGTACAAAATTGATGGGAGGGGGGGGGGGTCAAAAAATCGTTGTCTAGGAAATTACGAATTTCCGCTCTCCAGGCCCTTAACTGGGAGTTCTTTTTTGAAAGAGAGAGGGTGGGGGACATAACACACTTAAAAGTGGAAAACTAACGATTTTACCTACACTTTGATCTTACAGGGGGTTGGTTGGGGGATGTGTCCCGTGTTCCCCTTCCCCTAGGTTACGGCCCTGCCGCCCTCCGTAAATAATTTTACTCGAAATCTAAATATTCTGTCATTTTTTATCACATTTGAAAAGTGATCAAACAATTATTTTATAATAATTTCAGGAATGGAAAAATGCAGATTTCATGAAGTAAAAGTGTCGGCTCCCAGCAAAGTTATTTTGTTTGGAGAACATGCCGTAGTGTACGGTATGACTGCTGTGGCAGCCAGTTTGGATCTCAGGTTTAGGACAATTTTTATATTGTTGGAAAATCACCTCCGCATCAAAAATATTTTCCATCTGTTAGGAATGTTGTAGTGAATTCACTTAAAAGGATATAAATTATTTTTTTTATTAAAAGTTTTAAAAGGGGGAAGAGAAAACTTTGGTTATCCCCCCCCCCCCTTGAAAAAAAGAAGAATTTCTCTTTGGAGTTCTTAATCTCTGTGTTCGATTTTCGTTATTTGAAATTTTAAGTGAGCCTTTGAAGATATTTATTGTATAGGCTTAATGTGAAATTTCTTATAATTATATATTTCATCTTTAAACAATTTCCCTGGTACTGACCTGGTAATCACGTTTTACAAACATAAGTGTTTTCCGGGTTTCAAGATTTTAAAAATATTTATTTCAGGACGAGAATGAGAATAAAACCACATAAATCTAGAATTTTGGTAAATTTCCCCGATGTTGGTTTGAAGGAGAGTTGGAGCCCTGAACAACTCAAGACCTTGTTCCAGCATAAACCCAACACGGAAATACTTGATGTGAACTATGTCTACCTAGATTTAATCCATAATTTTCTCAAGGTAAATTTCATGAAATATTCAAAAATAATTGAAATTTTGTTTCTCTCCATCTATTTCTTCACTGACTATGGACAACTTTTTTCTCCTCTTTTCACTTCAAAAAATGAAATTTGCCCAATATAAACAACAAACACTTTCTCAGGGTATGGGGGGATTTTTGTAATTAGAAAATTATTCTTATGTAGAATATTGAACATTTATTAAAATATGTTAAGACTGAGAGTTCTGATCTCCGAATGGCAAGTGTGATCTGTTTTCTCTATCTCTACAGTCTTATCATGGATGAGGTTGGAATAGTTCCAATGGAGATCCTGGTTGAGAGTGAAATACCACTAGGAGCAGGTTTGGGTAGCTCTGCTGCTCTCTCAGTCTGTCTCTCCGCAGGTCTTATCGGGGTCTTGCATCAAGTACAGGTATAACATACAGTGCTATATTAAAAACTTTAAAAATTAGACTCAACTTGGTTTTATTCTGTTGCTTTTACTTGCGAATCAAATCCAATCTTATTTTATACTTTGCTTGTTTTTTGTTAGTTTGTATCCAATAAACTTTAAAACGGCTGAGGCGATTGGGCTCAATTATTTCTGTGGCAACTCACATGACCCTAGGGAACCTCTATGGAGGGGATTAAGATGAAAAATTTAGCCCGGAAAAATATCTTGACATTTTTTGTTAAAAATGAACAAATTCATTCAGATAAATCCGTTTATATCGTTTACAAAGATGATTGTTAGTAGTAAAAGGGACGCGAATCGCTCAAAAAGCCTAGTAAAGGAAATAAGGAGAATGCTATAATTTATTTTATTTTTTTAATTCAGGGCTATGAAAAGAGCATTTTTGAGTATACATCTTCCTCTATACAGAAGGAAGTTTGTGGGTTTGCATTTCTTTCGGAAAAAATCCTTCACGGTACCCCTTCGGGGATTGATAACTCAATAAGCACCTACGGAGGAATGTGCAGATTTGAAAAAGGTAACAGAAAACCAATTTTTATACTTTCGTAGTGGGGAAGACGTCGACAGTACAGAACACGTATTATTTTTTATTAATTACTAAAAGTATATTTGCTTATGTTAATAAGTTCATACAAAATACTGCGAATATAAGCTCAGTACAGAAAAAAATAATCTTAAATATCATAAGGAGCACAAGGGGATACTTTTAAAACTAATTCTATTGAAAAATAAGAATAAGAAAGCCTAGATTTAACAGAAATCACTATTACATCCATAAAATACTTGTAATCGTATTTGAAAATGTATATCCCAGGTAACCTTGAACCTGTCCGTCTCGAGAGGAATCTAAGAATCCTATTGATCAACACAAACACCTTCAGAAACACTAAGGATCTGGTGGAACGGGTTGGAGAGAAACGTGTCAAGTATCCGGATATAGTCAAACCAATATTAGAGTCTATTCATGCAATTAGTGAGCAGTTCCTTACCTCTATACAGGAATATAACCAGGACCTTAATGAGAAGAAATTTTATAAGGTAACAACTAAAATAATTCAAAGAAAGGATTCATTTGGTTTTGATGCGGTTTCGGATCCTGGATACGTTTTGTAAATTTTGTAAATTTAGATCTAGCTGATGTGTAGTTTTGCTAATTACTTTTATCAAAGGCGATTTTTTTTTCGTTAATTTTTCATTCAGAAACTTTATTTACAACAAACAACCTTTTTAGATATTAGAAGATTTGATGGATACAAACCAATCCCTTCTGACGGGGTTAGGAGTTAGTCATCCAACCCTTGATGATGTATGCAGAACCTTGAAGAAATTAGGTAGGTCACTCCTCAATTATGATTGCTTAAAGAATTGAGTCTTTGCCACAAACTCTGATTTTCTAATCTAATCTAACCTATGCAACCAAACGCCGTAGATCTTAGATATTTTATATGAATTCCGTTAGAACCAAGATTTACGCAATTAGCTTGCAATGATATTGGGATTAGAAAATTTGAGTTCGTGGCAAAGACTTAATTCCTTTGCGTACATTCCAAATATTTTTCAAATCCGAACCTTGCTCAGGTATAGTTGGAAAACTGACAGGAGCTGGAGGTGGTGGATTTGCTCTGGCTGTGCTGCCTCCATCTATCTCGGGTAAAACCGTCCTGGTGGCAAAAGATTTATTGGAAACTAAAGGATATACATGTTACCAGGTAGGGGTTTCCATCTTTTTATATATTTGGCTTGTTCGTCTGTATAACCAAAGAACGGCAAACGGCTGAACTGAGCAGGTCCAATTTTTTGTTCCAACTCACCACGAAAGATTTATAAACCGTCGAAGATGAACATTTTTTTTCCGAAAAAAATGTTAATATTTTATTTTTGAAAATGCGCCAATTTAAACAGAAAAAAACGCGAAAATTTGAGATAAATAAAAAATTGCTGAGTTTAAAGCTAAAATTGTTACAAGGAAAGAGGCCGCAAAGCGTCCTATCAGCCTAGTATTCTAAAATTAACATTTATTTCCCTCTCACAAATAATGATTTTGTTTGTAGGCGGATATCGGAGTGAATGGATATGTTATAGAAGTTGTTAAATAGTAGAACCTGGAACCTAGTCATGCGTCACCAATCAGATTAGAGCAAGCATAATGATAAATGTGACCTGTCTTCCACCCCGGTCCTGTTCAATTTCCATCAAGATCGAGAAATATCTTTAATTTTATAGAGAAATTTTTATTTAAAAAAAATGTAAAATTTCAGATTGATTGCCTCGTAACCCTGAATATATTCATCTTTTCGGGTTTAGGAATTTTACTCAGTTAGTTTAAATTTACCGGAAACTTTCGCCAAAGTTAGAAGTATTATTTTTATTTTTCAATTTAGCTAAATTTTTGCTATTTTTATAAGTTTGGCGTTAAAGGCCTAACTGTAATGATTGCAAAATTCCGATGTAGTTAACGTAAACGTTGTTATTGTTATTGTTTAACAACTACATCTAAAAATATATAATTACAGGTTTATAAAATGGAAATGTTTCCTGCGATGGAGTTGGTTGTCAGCTCCTCGGAAAAGACTACTCAGGTACTTAGAAACTATTAAAAGTTGTTTTAAAAACAATTTTTTTCTTTTTTTTTCATAAAAATAGTTTTTTATTAAAAAAAGGTTTTTTAGATTAAAAAGTTGTTAGTTAGAATTAAGAATCGTTTTAATAATGTTTTTTGTTGTTCAGGAGAAACATGTGAACCGCCCTAATATACCACTAGACCACGCCTGTACAGTATGTGGTGCTCCTGCCTCTGCCCACCACCACTACGGCGCGGTTGTGTGCTATCCATGCCGCGCTTTCTTCAGAAGAGGAACAACAAAAAACTTCCAGTGTAGAACTGGTAAGTTCTCCTGTCCGCTAGAGCAAGCAGTGAAGAACCGATGTCGTGGGTGCAGGTATGAAAAGTGTTTACAGGTTGGAATGAAACCAGCAATGGTTGATGCAACTCTTGTCAAGAAAAATATAAACGGAGCAAAGAAGAAAGGAAAACGGTCTCACGAACTTCTTATTGAAGGAGACAATGATCCTCTAGATCTATCTAGAGCCTCAGCTCTACCCACGGGGGAGGAGATATTCGAGGATTCGTCGACACAACTTTTCTATGTTTATAATCCTCCAACTCAGACTTACGAACCTGTTACTATCATCAGTCTCGGAGATGACGGAGTACAAGGGTTCGAAGAACATGTAATACCTCACCACGCTGAGCTTATGCCCCATGAATCCCAAGTTTTAGTAAATAATATTCATACTGACCATGAAGAGATTGTGCAGACGTGTGACCAGGTGGCCGGGGAGGTGATCGTCTGCAACACCTACGACAGTGAAGTTGAACGTGAGGAGATCGTAGACTGTATCAAGGAGGAGTACGTTGGTCCTAGTAGACCAGAACACAACCAGTCCTAACAAATTATCTTTAACTGTACAAAATTCATCATCTGTAAATCCAATAAATTGTAAGCCTTGATTCAAGGAAAAAAATGTCCATATTTTTGTTTAAAGGTATCAATGTGTTATTGTTATTTCTTTTTTACCTAATTATAATTTTTTGTAGATTTAAATATTTATAATTCAAAACATAAAGGTATTTTTATTTACATTTTTTAACCTTCAGTGAGAACCATAAAACTGTGAAATAGGAAGACGACTTTTAGATGCAAATCATGATTTTAAATAGTAACATGAAGCACAGCAATTTAAGTAATTTTTAAGCTATATTGTAATGCCATTAATGATTAAATGCACTTAAAAATTCCATTAATGTCGTCTTCCTATTCCACAGTTTTCTGGCTCTTACTGTTACGTATGGTAACAACCATGCTCTTGGAGGGGGGAAGGTTTAGAAAGAATGTCAACGATTTTGTAGAATAATTTCATATAAAGCAGTGACAGGGCTTCTCAAATCAGGTTTAATCCAAATTAAAAACTTTTCCTTTTTCACCTTTTTTCATTCTCGACTTTTTAAACTCAATTTTGATTCCAATAATGCATAAAATTTATGAAAAACTCTCTGATTTAGATGAAGTTATGTAGTTATATAGAGGTAAAGAGCTCCAGCCCTTCCATTCCCTATGTTCCCATTTCCTTCACTTCTTTATCTGCCAACCTTCCATAGATTAGAGACCTTCCTCTTCCCTATCTACCCTACTTTCCTCGTACCTTCCCCTTATACTTCCCTGTCCCTTCCGTAGTTCCCTATATTCTTCTTTCCCTCTCAACCTTCCTCTTTCCCTCTCAACCTTCCTCTTTCCCTCTCAACCTTCCTCTTTCCCTCTCAACCTTCCCCTTTCCCTATCAATTTTCTCCTTTCCCTCCCAACCTTCCCCGTCCATTCTTTTCCTCTTCCCTACCTATCTCCTTCCCTACCTTTCCACTTCCCTCCCTACCTTTCCCACTTACCCACCCTTCCCTTTTATCAGCTGTTACCCTTCCCCTTTTCCTTTACTTTTTTTCTTCCCCTTATCTTTTCATTTCCCCTTTTCTTTTCCCTTTTCCTTTCCTTTCCTTTTTCCTTCCCTTTTTCTTCTTGTGGGTCTTCGATTTCTTTGAAAAAAAGTTAAGCTGATTAAAAATATTCCATAAGGCTTTCGCAATGACAAAGTTTCACCCAGTTCGGAAAATATTTCTTCAGATTTAATCTAATTAATAAAACAAAACATTCGTATGTTCCCTCTAGCCGACCAAACGGCTGGACCAATTGGGATGAAATTTTTTGCGGACACTCATAGTTTTAAAAAAATCGAATTTTTTGATTCAAAATAATTTATTATTTTTTTCATGCACTTCATATTTGCTGTGTCTCATGTTTCATTTAAATTAAGTTAAAGTCATAACTTGTGCCCAATGGCGTAAAAAAGGGGGGTTATTGGGGTTATTCACCCCCCACATAGAATGCTGAGGGTAAATACCCCCCCTAGAATCCTGGGGGTAAATACCCCCCCCCCTAGAATCCT